CTGTAGGATAACCCCATCCATGGATGACTGTTTCCACAATAAGTCTAAACTTCTAATTATAGTATTCCATATAAGAATAAAATATTTATGTAAGTTTCTTATGCTATTTGTTCTCAGATCCTGCATGATGTAGTAGAAGCATCTGATCCTAAGTTGGAAGACTCTCAAAACAACACACCAGCTAAGGATCCCAGCCCCATTCCCAAACAGCTAGAATCTACGCCCATGCAGGTTAGTTTCTTCCTAGTATGATCAAACGGCTTAAATATGTGCCTACACATGTCAGTTTCTTCCTAGTAAGACGAAGATCTTCCAATTCCCTCTTTGGTAAGTGTTATTTGGCTGAAATGGTTGGTGATACTAATGTCAGGCAAATAAGTAAACTCAAAACCTACTCTCTCTACTGCACAACAGAGGTTACATGATATTTTCGATCTTAATCTTTATAGTGTTAAAATTTTCTATATTCTGCACATTTTATTTAGATTGGAGTTCAAAGTGAGCCAGTGGATGGGCTACCATCTGGGTGGATAAAAGAAGCCAAAACTAGGATGACACAAGCAGGGGAAATAAGACATGACTGGGTAAATTCCATTCTTCACTCCCATTCTGTACATGTGAACCTGTGAAAACAAATTTTGGGAATTTTTTAAGATTTATCAGTTTATGTTTTTACTAATGAGTAATGAGTGATTGATTTTTCTACATTATAACATTGTTATGTAGACACTGTCAGCAAGTTTATGGGATTTAATCTATGGTTTATCATCTGGTGTTTTTACCTATGACTGTAATTGATCACCTTTATCTCCATTATAACAGTATTATGTAGACCCTGTCAGCGGATATGAATTCCGTTCCAAGAAAGATGCTCTGCGCTATATTGAAAGTGGTGATATACGCAAGTGTATTATAAGGCCCAGCAAAAGGATTCCCGGATCAACCCCCAACAGCGTGAGTCTTGCAATTTTATACACCCACTCCTTGTTGCTTTAATCAGGGCATTCCAAACACCACTAATGCTTGGGGGACACACCAAGCATTTTTTACACCAAATGCATACCAAGGTTTACACAGAACACACAGATACTTGATATACTTGATATCTGTGCGCACGGACATGCGCACGGACATTAAGTGTTTGTTTGTGTGTGTGTGTAAGCCTTGGTGTGCATTTAGTGCCAAATTATTGTGATAGAGCACAAGGGAGAGCCACACCCCAAAAGCTAGCTCTTAAGGTGGGAGAACCCTAAGGCTATATAAACCCCACACCAATCCCCCATTTGACCGGTGCGGGATCGTTATTTAGCCCGTATCAGTTTGGTGTTCCCCTAGCACCGCTCTTTCACACACAGACCAAGTAATGCGATTGGTGTTGTATACTGACTGGAAATGTCTTTGCTGTTAGGTTCCTCCAAATCCAGAAACAGACTCTTGGACGAGAAGAGAAGTTTTCGTTGGGGAGGAATTGAAAGGCAATGAAAATACAGGGGCTGAAATAAAAGAAAGTTCTGCTCCTACAGATGCAGCAGTTCCACAACCACATGCTGAAGAAGGAGGCTCAAACAAAAGAAGGCGCAGCATTACTCATGATTACCTCAATGCAAATTCCGGGACTGGAATAAGTGTTGGAAAACTTCCCCCACGCAGAAAATCAAACAAAGTTTCCGGAAACCAATCACCGAGTTCGGGTCAAACTGCGACCAAGACAAGAAATCCCAGAGAAAACAAAGGCCCGACAAGCTTGCCTGGTCGGGCCTCAAACAGACTTGCAGAGAAACACAAAGGAGAAGCTGCAAATTTGGGTCACCATGATGGAATAGAGCCTGACAAGTCTCTCGACCCGTCTGAGAAACTGGTCTCCAATGTGGGCATTGGCCCTGAAGGTAGTGTAGTCATTCCAAACTCTAGCAGTGGCATCGACATCAACACATCGTGGGGCCCGCACGATCCCGTTCGCCAAGTGGTAGCTGACTTGGGCCTTGGTGAAGAAGAGATTCTTCAATCCTCTGCCGTGGGCTCAGGCGAAATTGACGTCAACACGGCCATGGCCCACCTCCCTCGCCACTTCAGTTGCGCTGCTAGTAAGCCACCATCCGAGGTTTACGTTGGGCCCCACGACGATGTTGATGTGAACATACCACTGCCATCAAATCCTCAAACGCAGTTTCGCGGCAGCGGGGACTGTTGGACGGACCCTTGTCTGGACTTTGCCCTGAAAACGCTCACAGGAGGCGGGATGCCAGCTGGCGAGGGTTCTCAAGACCAAACTTGTGGTGGGGTCCAGCATCAGCAGCAGCAACAGCAGCCACAGCCATTTGACCCACCTTACCCGCAGGTGGTGGACGGATGCTTTTCGCTTCCACTTCCACTTCCGGTGTTTGATTCACAGTCCGGGCCACAACACCCATCATCTATGATGAATTCTTCGCCCCTTTTGCCCCCCGGGTTTAGCTTACCAAGTTACAATGGAATGGGTTCTCAATCCGGTCCGGATGGGAGGAAGGACTACCCGCCGCCCAACCTTTAATGCCGGAATCTTGGAGGCGACGAGCTCTCTAGTCAGTCCCCTCATCCTCACTTGTAATGATACAACTAAACTCTTCTTCTTCTTCGTCTTAATTACCTTCTTGCCGCATCAGTTTTAGCTCTTAAACTCATTTGTAATTATGGATTACAATGAGTTTGTGTGTATGTTGTAACCCTGCGAATTCACTTCCATAGGGGTAGCCATGAATAAGTTAAGGTAGGAGGTTGTGACATGTTTGTGGGATTATTATTATTATTATTGTTATTTTTTTTCACTTCCAAAAAGACAAATTGGGATTGATTACTGTTGTAGTAATGGCATGGCATCCTATGTTCTTTAAAGTGCCACATGAAGTACATACATGTCTTTCATTTTAATTAGCGTTAACGTTTTGGTTATTGTTTTAATAGTGATTTGCAAATGTGAACCCTGTATTTGCTCGCTTTATAATTAAATACTTCTTCCGTCTCAATTTAAGTTGTTTATTAAGTACTCTCTTTGTCCCAAATTATGTCGTCTATTTCAGATTACGAGTACTATTTACAAGTTCAAGCTCTAATCACATTCTTTATCCATTTTTGCTACCTTTGGGAAAAAAATAAGATATTATTATCACTACTTTTATAAAAATTTTGATATATTTTTTAAAAATATACATTTTATTTTTTAAATTCTATACCAATTTTCCAATAAATTGAGGGAGTAATATTTTTGTTGACCTTAATTAGCCTTTTCTCTGTGAAAAAAAAGTGGTTATTTTATCAGCGCAAGTAACATTTCGTATTTCGTTTTTCTTTATCTTCATTATTAAGAAATTAATTTAACACTAATTTTTACGAAGTGATATTGTAGTGTTTAAACTATCCCCGGGGTGTTGTTTATTGTTTAAAGAACACTCTTTTACTCATTTGGGATGTGAAGAATTGTATAAAAATAAAAGGAAAAAAGAATAAAATAGGAATAAAATATTAAAAATATATTAAAATAAGAGTTCTATGTTTTGATTTTCGAAATAAGAATTAAAATGTGTTTATATTACCAATCATGATCATTTACATTATGTTAAATGCACATGTAATGTGCCACATTACCGCATTGCCTACTCCTATTTAAAAAATAAAAGCATGAAACTTCTATTTTGATATTTTTTCTATTTTTAGTTTTATTTACGTCGATTTCTTAAAATAAAATCCATAAAATATAATGCATCACTTATGGCCCAGTGGCCCACACATACATATATCACCTTGAAATAATGAAATCTGCATTATTTGTGTCTTCCAAATGGATAATACCAAAATAAATTGAGATAAATAAATGGTAAACACAAACAGCTAAGGTCCATCCTTCAATTCAAGAAGCTGGCAGGTTGGACCTTATTCCAAATAATCAGCGCATCAACCCAATTTTTATTTATTTATTTTGTATTCTTATTTGAATCAGATCATATTAAATCAGATTAGATAAAAAAATAACTTTAAATATAACTATATTTATATTAGATCAGACTAGATCAGATCAAAACCTGTTCCAATTAAATAGATCATTCAGGTGAAGAGAACATGACCTACCTCCGTCTTCAAATATTTATGCCATGTTAAATTTTATTTTTCCCTCTCAAAGTAGATAAAATTTTTTGTTAGTAATTAAATAGAAATTATGTTGCATATTCATACAATGAAATAATTCTTAAAAAACATTTTTTTTGAACCAAATGCACTTCTCATTATAAATACCTTGTAGAGACCATCCTCCTCCTTGTACAACTCAACACTTTACTTATTACAGTAGATTGCCAACACCTACAATTATCAATATTATCACTAAACACATACGCCTTTCCCCTTCATGAATATCTCTGTTTGGTGAATTGCCATTTGGGCACATTTAAAAAACTTTTTATAAAGTAAATCTGATAAATTATTTTTGTATTACTCGGTATGTTTCATTTTATTTAATTGAATATCAAATTTCCTATAAAAAGTCAAACTATGACAAACATTATGCGATAGAAAATGTTTTATTTATGAAAGAAATTATTTGTGGCTAATGCTGACTTTATGAGAGAGACTATCTGTAGACCTAAATCATGATCCATATATTAAAATAGATTTTTCAAAATTTTTATAATTAAACATATATATAATTTATGATATGTATCAATATATTATCTCAAAAATATTAAATGAAATGCTGACTTGTAATATCAAACTGTGATATTGTTCGATGAAAAGATGTTTTTTAAAATTTTATTTGAATAATTATGTTATGAGTACTTTTTCTTTCAATTTCTCCAAGTTAGTTATTATCCCCGAAAAAGTCTCTCCTCGAGATGCTCCACGTTGCTGCTGACTATGCGCCATTTCTCATTCTCTCTCTCACGCCGAAATTCCACATTTTTTTTTTGTCCCAAACAAATACACCTCTATATAACCGCTTGCGTATTTCAATTCGAAATCTCCATCTCCATCTTCATTCATACAAGACCAGAGAGAGAGAGAGAGAGAGAGAGAGAGAGGTAGAGAGTTCCAGAAATGGGCGCAGGGCGGGAAGAAAGGATTCTGGTTACGGGAGGAGCGGGGTTCATAGGCACACACACAGTGGTTCAGCTTCTCAACGAAGGGTTTAAGGTCTGGATCATCGATAATCTCCACAACGCCGTTGAAGAAGCTGTTCATCGGGTGAGGGAGTTGGTTGGACCTCACCTCTCCCTCAATCTCCATTTCCATTTGGTACTTTCTCTCTTCATCTCCTTTAGATATCATTTATATCAAAACTGAATTGCTCAGTTGTTCGCACTTTTATTGGGATCAAATTGCTTGTTTCGATATAACTTTTCTTATTTAATTAGCTGATGATGCTGGATTGCTCAATGAATGCTAGCTAATCGTTAGGTTATGGAGCTAATGTTTACTGTATTATTAATATTAGTTATTAACATGTGCATTCTGCTTCACGGATTTCAACATGTATTATTCCCTGTTTATAGCCTGTACTCATTATTTTGAAATGATCAATATAAAGCCCTATAATGCCGTGAAATTTTCCCAGTAGGCAATAGCAGGAAAACATAGATAGCTCTTATATGTTTTTCTTCTTTGTTGTTCATCATTTTGACTTCAATTTCTTAATTATCTTCTTCATCTAGATATCTCTCTGTGTGTGATTGTGTGTGTGAGATCCTAACACTAACTTGTGATGTTTGATTGCCAAAGTGTGTTTTGACTCGTGTTTGAAATCTTCTTAATGCGACAATTAAACGAGGAGAAGGAGCATTTGGAGATTTGTTTGCCTGATGAGGCGGTGCTGATTTTTGGCTGAGTGTTAATTCTGCATTTTGAAATTGCTTTGCAGGGTGATATCAGAAACAAGGATGATTTGGAAAACTTGTTTTCTCAAACCAAGTATGCAACAACTGTGGATTTAAAATGTTCTCTGTTTTGGGATTCTAGTTTGGATCTTTTTTTTTGAAAGCATTATGCTGTTGGGATTCTAATTTGATGATTAAAAAAAATAATAGGTTTGATGCTGTTGTCCATTTTGCCGGGCTTAAAGCTGTCGGAGAGAGTGTTGCTTATCCCTTTCGCTACTTCGAAAACAATCTAGTTGGATCAATAAATCTGTATTCTGTCATGGAAAAATATAACTGTAAGAAGGTTAGTTTGGTTCCTTTCTCACTCACAACACCCTGGAGTATATCTGCATCAATTCATTCGTCTTCGATTTAATGCGTTTGTGCAATACACTTATTGAGGCGTTCGTTCATTCATTCACTTATAGTCAAATTGATGTGTGGTTACAGTTGGTTTTCTCATCATCAGCAACGGTTTATGGCCAACCCGAGAAGATTCCGTGCGTGGAGGATTTTGAATTGAAGGCCATGAACCCCTACGGCCGTACCAAGGTACTACTCAAAAAAAAAAAAAAGAGCTTGAGTGTTGCTCTAGTACTGTTTTTTCAAATGTTAGAAACCTGAATTGCTTTCAATGTGAGTAGCTGGCCCTTGAAGAGATAGCTCGCGACATTCAAAAGGCGGATGGAGAGTGGAGAATCATTTTGCTGAGATATTTCAATCCAGTGGGAGCCCATCCCAGCGGGAGACTCGGGGAAGATCCTAAAGGCATACCCAACAATCTCATGCCTTACATCCAACAAGTCGCAGTCGGTCGGTTGCCCGAGTTGAATGTCTACGGTCATGACTATCCCACCCCCGATGGCACTGCGGTAATTGTTTTACTAACTAACTCACTCTAATGATGAATATGATTTGACAAACATCACCCACACATTGATTAAACTCTCCCACAGATCCGTGACTACATCCATGTTATGGACTTGGCAGATGGCCATGTCGTTTCGCTCAATCGCCTTCTCAAACAAGATGTTGATATAGGTGACTGCATTATCATCCATGTTATGAATAAGATGTGGAACAACATAATTAAGGAACATATGCTTAATTACCTCTTAATTACTTTGGTGTTAGGTTGTGTTGCTTACAACTTGGGAACTGGGCGTGGCACATCCGTCCTAGAAATGGTAGCTGCCTTTGAAAAAGCATCTGGGAAGGTATGCCATTTTTGGTCATCTCAGCTCGGACAAATTTATATATATAAAAAAAACAGTACTGATCAACATATAAGCATTTACATTACTTGTTTCTATCTTGTTGCAGAAAATTGGGATGAAATTATGCCCGAGAAGAGCGGGGGATGCGACAGCGGTTTATGCATCAACGGAGAAGGCCGAGAGAGAGTTGGGGTGGAAGGCGAAGAACGGGATAGATGAGATGTGCGGGGACCAGTGGAAATGGGCAAGCCAGAACCCATGGGGCTACGTCTCCCAGCCCTGACCCCAAACCATCTTCTACAATGGATGGCCACCCCATCTCCAGCCTCTCTCATCTGGTTCTCTATGTTTGTACAACTCAAATCCTCCCTTTCTATCTCTCTCTGTGTGTTCTTTTTATGGCTGAATTGGTTGGACTAAAAGTGAAGGTGTCAATCAATCTTTAATGCAATCTCCCCATCAAATTCATCAAAGTAAATTTGTTTGATTCAAAACAATATATCATCATGGACATTGGACACTTCCACACTCGCCCCTTCCACAATGTTCTTTTGAATTGAAATTTCAAAATTAAAAGTTGGAAGAAATTGGATGAAGTTAGAAAAAATTGGAATGAGTTGGAAAAGGATTAAAGTGTTAAAAATCACTCAATTAAATTCCCACCTAAATAAATACAGTATGTAAGAAAAATTTTAATTTAAAAAAAATCATTTTTGCCCATATTTGATTAAACACACCTTAAATTGACGTATATTCCGATGGGGCGTTCTTTTATGCCCCTTTGGAGGAAAGGTTTTGGTAGAGCAGAGTTATATGTTGATGAATCTTGTGGCATGTTTGATTTAATCACTACTTTGGATTTGTTCTTTTCGGGTTGAAAGAAAATGGAAAATGTTGAAAAAAAACTAAAAAAAAAATAAATTGTTAAAGATCATCTAAATAAAGAAACTAAATTTGGTTAAAAAAAGAAATTAATCATATGTAAGCATATGAGAATCTATTTGATATAAATTTAGATATAAACCTGTTATTATATAATAATCATATGTAAATACATTTTTTAAGATTGTCGAAAGGTACAGGAAAAGATTAGAAAAAATTAGAAGAAATTGAAAAAATTTGGAAGAAATTGAAAAAAGTTGGAAGAAAATAATATTTGCTTTAATTGTATGGATTGGTAAACAAATTTTTCAACACTAGAAAAATAAACTCTTTCACCTTATTAATATACTTCCTCCATCTCAAAAAAAGTTTCTAAATAAAAATTGACACAAAGTTTAACTAAATTAAAAATCTTATTAAATGTGATGAAGATAAGAGAGAAAAATTATGAGTCACTCCATTTTTTTAAAAAAAAAAAGAAAGATTTTTTTTAAAATCTGCCTAAAAAAAAGAAGTAAAAGTTTTATTAGGATGAAAAAGGCATTACTTATGAAATCTTATTTCAAATAGAGAGATTGTGTTTATTTTTTATAATCTCTAGCTTGTTCTCTTTTCTAAACCATACATAAGTTCTTGCATTCACTTCATTTTTTTTTACACAATTCTTAGTTTTCGTGAAGTGAAAGAAATTAAAATTTTGGTACAAACTAAAAAAAAATTAAAATTTTCCCGTAAGAAATGAGAGTGGTACAAGGTACGCTAAAAAGAAAAAATCCAACCAAGTTTATAGATGAAGTAATAAATAAATGAAATACTAGAGCAGTTCGTCATCTTCCCCCAACCGCCATCTCCATTTCTTGGGGAAAATTGCAAATCAAGAAAAACTCAGAAACTACTACTTGATCCAATTCCTAAACAGTTTCCACTTTCTGCAGAAGCTAAGCAAAAGACTACCCTTCTTCCCCCCATACCGGCTGCCGAACTTCTCCGCCAAACTGCATTCAATTTTAACCCACCCCAAACACGCCTTTCCCCCCTTCCACTTCCTCCGCCTCTTCCGCAACGGTTTCTTAGCCTTGCCTCCACGCTTTCCTTATTCTACCTTTCTATAAACCCTTTCTTCTTCTGCTACCCCTTTCCATCTGCGCGCAGAACCTGTCTTGAACTGTGAAGGAGTCATGGCGGGGAACCGAGATCTGGAATTGAGCGGGGGAGGGAAGACCAGAGGCGCCGCGCATCCACCGCCGCCGAGCTATGGGACGGCGGCCTCGGCCGATTCGGCCTGGCCGGCGTTTCTGGTGCCTCTGATTGTGCTGGCTAACCTCGCCATGTTCGTGATAATCATGTCCGTCAACGACTGCCCCAATCGGATCGGTAGGGACGAGAAGTGTGTTGCCAGATTCCTCAGGAGGTTCTCCTTTCAACCCCTCAGGGAAAATCCTCTCTTCGGCCCGGCTTCTTCCACGTAAGCTTGAACTTGTAGCTGAGCTGGTTTGTTACATTTCATTTCGCAATTCGTTGAAATTTCGATCAAATTTAGCTGATTTGATCACCTGATGTTAGTGTCAATGTTTTTTTATAAGGATAAGAACAACCTTTGTTTTATGAATTAAAGGGAGAACTTACTATAGAAATTGCACCAAGGCAGGATATCTCTTGATTATACACATTCAGTTCATTCAAGGGACCATAACGAACAAGCTCGTGCCACTTTTGAAAAAATTTAGTGCTAAGGAACCAACTCAACCACAAGCTTGAGCTTGTTGTTGACGGCAGAGGAAATGATTTGTACTCTAACATCTAGCTTGAATATGTTATGTCCTCGGGCTTAGCTCGAATAATTAAGAGCTTTGGTTGTTATGTATGTATTGGGGGAGTAGCGAGTAAGGGTGGTGCTACTTTTGCAGGCTAGAGAAACTGGGGGCACTGGATTGGAACAAGATAGTGCATGAGCATCAGGAATGGAGGCTTTTCACATGCATCTGGTTGCATGCTGGTGTGATTCATTTACTTGCCAACATGGTGAGCTTGGTCTTCATCGGGATTCGGCTCGAGCAGCAATTCGGATTCAGTATGTTTTCTTCTCTTTCCATCCAATTAATTTGGTTATGCATTACAATATGCTTGTTTAAAAAACTTTTTTGTTATGAGTTGATTGAGTTCTATCTCCCCCCTGATTAATGGCTTTTGTGCAGTACGTGTGGGGATGCTCTACCTGGTGTCGGGGATTGGAGGGAGCATTCTTTCTTCCTTGTTTATCCAACACAGCATCTCTGTTGGTGCTTCTGGCGCATTGTTTGGACTTCTTGGAGCTATGTTGTCCGAGTTGCTTACTAATTGGACAATTTACAGCAATAAGGTGCACAAGTTTCCCTTTCTTATTCATCAAAGACAGCCTTTGTTGCTCAATGTCAACCAAAATGGTAGTTAGTTTAATTTCCCACATTGAATACCTAGAATAAAAACAACTAAGATATAAGAATATGAATTACTCCTCGCATTGCCAATTGATTTTGGGAGGGAACTCTCACGATTCTACCTTCTTAATTGATGGTTTGTATTTTCTTTTTGAGACTAGGCTCTACGTGGACTGCTCCTACAAACCTCCATTAATCTCAACTTTTTAAAACGCTAGAACTTGTTGTTGTTGTGGGGGGGGGGGGGNTAAAGTTACTTAGGTAGTGTTTGGCAACTAGCATTTCATTTCAATTCATGCATTTCAATTCCAAAATTTGAAATCCTAAATTTCAAATGACAAGGGGAGGTGCATGGATTTCAAATTAAGCTTTGTTTTGAATGTAAAGAATTTGATTCAAATCCAAATTTAAAATGCTTAAGTTTTCCAAACATGGAATTTAAGCCAAATCCGGATTTGAAATCCAAATCCATGTTCCCAAACATACCATTAATGAATTGTTGTTCTTCATTTGTGGGTGCCAGGCTGCAGCTCTTTTTACCCTAGTGGTGATCATCGCAGTGAACTTGGCAGTTGGGATTCTTCCTCACGTCGACAATTTTGCCCATATTGGAGGCTTCCTTAGTGGGTTCCTCCTTGGTTTTGTGCTTCTGCTTCGACCCCAGTTTGGCTGGTACGAGAGGCGATATCTCCCACCTGGTGCCCGCCTCAACTCCAAGTACACCGTCTGCCAACTCTTCTGCTTGGTCTTCGCCTCGGTTCTACTCCTTACCGGGTAACCACTCTCTTCCCCCCTTGTTTTTTTTGTGTGTGTTCTGACAAGAACAACAACTTAACAACAGTGAACCTAGTAAAATCTAACAAAACCCGGGTCTTTGGCTAAAATACAGACGTACGAACAAAGAAACGATTAAAGTTGGTTTTTTGTTTGTTTGTTTGTTGAAATGTGTGTAGATACGTAGTGGGATTGGTGATGTTGTTCAGAGGAGAGAATGGGAACTCGCGTTGCGGATGGTGCCATTACTTGAGCTGTGTGCCAACTTCAAGATGGCAATGCAACAACTGATACCAAATATATACCAAATACTAATACCATTCTTAATTGGTGATCTCGGAGATGTTTTCTTTCTTCTTCCCCACTCTTTTTTGCTTGTTTTACATTATGAACTGACAGATCCATTGATCCAACTCCGTTGATCATGAGTTGAAGTATTATTACTTTGTATACTTGTATATATATGTATGTATACACACACACACACATGAATTGAAATAATAATGACAATAATAATACGGAGTAATAGATAACTAAATTCGGTCGCAGGAAATTATATATATATAATTTTTATCAAATTACAAAGTGGTTGGAACATCAATAGTCCATCCCCCAACCACCTTGAGTGTATAACCAAAAGCTTGGGCCAAATAGGTTTGTATGGGTGAGGACGTAAATGGAAACCAATAGAATAAATGTATGGGTTGAAGGGCGCATGACCCTATGTGTTTGATGTGGGACTTGCTAAGGTGCGTGACCCTAAGGTTTATCCAAAACTAAGGGTTGACACAATCTGGCCTCAATAGAAAATTAGACTCTTTTGATAGGATCCAATAAAAAAAGAGAAATTTACTTAAATAGGACTAAAATATAATGACTTTCCCAATATATGACCATATGTTTTTATTTCCCAATGTAGGATTTTTGGTCATTATCAAGTAGTTATTATTCAAGTAAATGTTCATCATTACTGGACATTATTCCTCCCATTAGGTCATTATTAAGTCCTATTTAGGGAATAAAAAAGTTTAAGTCTTACAGGAAAAGTCATTATGTTTTAGTCCTATTTAGTGCAAATTTTACATAAAAAAAAATCGATTGTTCTTAGGATTGAAAGAACGATATTCTCCTTTACATAAAAGGTGAACATTAGACCACAAGGTATTGGCAAACAAAAATATTATTACGACAACAACAACCAAATATAATCTTTCGAGTTTTATCATAGAATATGTACAAGTTCTACGTACTTGCTTGTTTTTTTTTTCAATTTAAAAATTGACAAACTTTGACCATTATAATAAAATTATATTTCATATGGAGTAATAGTTTTTAGAATTTTTTTTGGAAGAAAATTTTAACTAAATTATAATCGCGTTTTATTAATCTAAAATGTAATTTTTAATAATTAGTGCTCCCTCCGTCCTAAGATTAGCTTCTCATTTGACTTTTCACGATCTCCACTATAATATTTTGACCATCAATATTTCTATTTATATATAAAAATATATTAAAAAAATAAAATATTTCCTGTATTTCAAAACGAACCCATTGATATTAAATTTATATAAAAATTTAATACTCCTTACATTGTTGTAATTTACGGTCAAAATTTAAAAAAAAAAATTGACCAAAAAATAAAACTGATGAGTTAATGTTGACCAAAAATCCAAAATAATACTCGAGAGATAATAAAAGAGAAATTTACTTAAATAGGACTAAAACATAATGACTTTCCCAATATAGGATCATATGTTTTTATTTCCCAATGTAGGACCTATAGTCATTATGAAGTAGTCATTATTCAAGTAAATGTTCATCACTGGACATTATTTCTCCCACTAGGTCATTATTAAGTCTTATTTAGGAATTAAAAAAAATTAAGTCTTACATTAAGAAAATCATTATGTTTAAGTTCTATATAGGGCAAATATCTAGGGAGTTGCAAATAACGGGAGAAAGTGGAATGCATAAAAGCCCAAATCAGAATCTCGTGATTCTCGTCGAATTCGTAATGGAAATCAGAACATCAGGGAGAAGTACGAGGTCGAACTTGTAATGGAAACGCTCTCTCTCTCCATCTTTAACGACGTCGAACTGGTCTCTCAGTCGTGTATTGATTAAAGTACGAAAATCATTGCGCTTCTTTTTTCTGTTTAATTTTACAGCCGAAATTTCGATTTCGTTTGATTGTATTATATGCAACTTACTCCGTATTTGTTTTTAAGATTGGAGTTTGTCATTAGATTGATTTGAGATCGACAGTGCACTTTTGTATAACCATATTCAGTTTGTTCCATTAATTATAGAGAAGAAACACATTTTCGGTTTGTAGCAACGTCAGATTTAAGCTACTAGTTTCTAAGACATCACAACAAAAGGGCATTGATGCGTTTGTATTATATATCACCAATAGTTTTCCTCAACTATGGACTTCATTAAATTGCAGGTGTAGTTTTCCTCAACTATGGAGATAAAAACCACAACAGCATTAATGAAAGGATGAGAGAAAGAGACCAAGGGAAATTCATTTGTAGACATCGAAGATAATGCAGCAACAAATATAAATGTAATGCTGGGAAATGATGTCGAGAAGGAAAATATGGTTGGGAGAGTCATAGATAAGTGCAACAAAAACATCATTGAAGAGGTCAAGACAAAAAAAAAAAGATGAAGAAAATGGAAAAGGTGGAAGCAAAGAAGAGCTATGACTGTGTTCATGGATCAGTAGGTATTGGTAAAGAGAAGGAAGGGCAAGAAGTGAGAACGTGAAAGACGGTACAAGGAGTTGATACCCCCCACTGGAGGGGAAGGTTTGAGTTTGTGTATACGCACTTTGAGTATGTATCATGGTTTACTTTGTGTTCATGTTTTTCTTCGTCTTGGTGGGTCTAGAGTATTGATTTATAATCTAACAATCCGGGAGGTGGTTCCACTGCCGCCGACAAGCTTAAAAAATAAAAGCTTCTATTTTTTCGTTATTATTGGGATCTGGTTCGACCCGATAGGTAGCAAGTAGTGGTAGCAAACCCTCCAACCAAAAAAGAGTCTTGGGTGGTACAATTATGCACGGTTGGAGAACAAGGTTGGCGTAGTGTATCTAACACAACCTTGCTCGGTCGATTTGAGAGATTTATATTTGAATCTGTGGTAAATGCCAATGGAAGTGTTCTCCTCTCAAATCGGTCAAGCAAGGTTGTGCTATGTTCCCCCTTCTCCAACCGTGTATTATTTTACCCCCCCAAAAACTCTTTTCCAGTTGGCGGGTTTGCTACGACTACCTTATACTTTCTATTTATCCGCTCGGATCCGATCACAATAATAACGACAAAATGGAGGTTTTTATTTTTAAAGCTTGTCGGTGGCAGTGGAACCCCTCCCCTCTCAGATTGTTGGATTATAGATCAGTACTCTAGACCCACCAAGAGAAAGAAAAACATAGACACGAAATAAACCATGATACATACTCAAGATGTGTATACACAAACTCAAACATTCTCTTCCCAATGGGGGGTATCGGCTCCCCAACCATATCATCAACACTGTCCGTTGATTTGCCAGATTATGTCTCAAGGCAAATTGATGGTCTTTGTTGATAAGGTCAAACTGCTTTTTAGAGACAATCGAGAAGGTCAAACTACTTTTTAGAGACAATCGAGAACTATATCAATGATTTCAGAGGCACGCAGATTTAGTGATTTCACATCAGCACCAAACGTTGTTTGATTTAGTGGATGCTGACCTGCAAATGAGAGTTCATGAAGAGGAGGAGAGGAAGAAGAAGTCCAATCATGGGATGTTGCACGACAACCTATGTTAGGAAGGAATAAGCGAGAAATTGGCCACGCAAAGTAACAAAGGCTGTTGTGGGTTAAGGTGAATGGGCTGATTCAGATGACTATCGCCTTGTGGGTGCACTATTCGACTTGGATGCATAGAAAATGTGGACTGGGACAACCTCCTCACCCACATATCTGGTGAGGTTTGTTTGCACCGTTGGAAGCAAATGGTTCGCCACATTGGTGTCATCATGATTATACCATAAGGTAACCCGTCACTTTTCTTCTGAAAACAAGTCTTCAATATTAGGAGACACTGTGCTGGCAATTGTACCCCATGTCCCCCCACCCCCCTCCCATATGGCTCTTCATTTGACCTGATAAAATTGTGCAATTTAGATCATCATTTGTGCACAGTACAAACCTCTGTGGTACCGGAGTCACGTGGATCTTAAATTTGGTTCATCTTAAATTTGTGTCGTATCATGGACTAGTGACTGTGAAGAACAGTTTAACGTTCCAGAACTGCATCAACATTCAACAACAGAATGCAAAAAAACGGGAAATGACAGATGGTAGCTCCCAGTTCCAGTCATATGATGATCGACGATTAAGAACCTGAGCTTTTCCCGGTGCTATACGCCTGAATGACATCCACCACCCTGGGGATGATGTCGTGAAAGGATGGCCGATGTTCCGGGACGCTGCAAATCCCCAATGCGACGTGATTGGTTAATAATTACTTCATACTATTATACTGAAAAGCCCATACCTTTGTTTTTTTTTTCTTTGAGGAAATAAGGGAAAACATTGTGTAGGTCACCCACCTTTGCCAACAATCTTGAATGATGGAAGACACCCTGGGATCCATGTCTTCTCCAACCTCCAGTCTCCTGTCCATGAACCCCACTACTCCCACAACCTTTTGACACCCCCCCCCCAAATGAAGCATGTTATCATCTCCCCTCAGGCCAAACAAATTTCCCCATAAAAAAACGCACCTGTAACGGGCTAAGTGTGCTCCAAGGTATGGACTCCGTCATCAATTCCCACAAAACGACGCTGAAACTGAACACATCACACCTGCCCAAATACCACAACAAAATATCATCACAAACGGTATATATATACGTACATACATATATGTAATGTACATCTAATCGACTACTCTGTGGAAGAGATCGATGAGACCATTACTTCTCAGTTGAATGTTCATTTCGAAGGACTTCAGGAGCCATCCAGTGGGGCTGCAACCAAAAATTACCAAGCCAGGCTGAGTATTCATACCCTTTAATTTGCTCAAGAGAACGCACCATACCAAACATGAACAAAAAAAATTTAGGCAACGTTATACTTACAGTTCCTCTCCCAGATCTAGCACTAAGCAGCGTCGCGTTTTTCAGTTTTGACAGCCCGAAATCTCCCACCTGATCACACCCACAAAAAAGTCCAAAACCATAACTTTGATTCGGAGGTCTAATACTACTCTGTAATATATACCTTCACTGTCCAGCTCTTGTCAACGAGTAAGTTTGAAGATTTCAGGTCTCTATGCACTATGGGTGGATTCCTAGTATGCAAATAATTCATGCCTCGAGCCTGCATTATTCATTCAATAAATCCTGAGCACCCCCCTAGTAAATATTACAAATTCCGGAAGACCACAAGGAGAATTGTAACAAAAAAAACATCAACTGAGATTCTGAGAATAGTATGTGTACCACGTCCAGTGCCATCCTTAGACGTCGCCTGATGTCTAGATGTTGGCTGTTCTTGTGTAGTGTTTTGAATAGGCTTCCCCTATAGAGTAAAAATGTGTACATAGTCTTAATCAAGCAAGACTCTTTTTAAAAAAATGGAACGAGGGAAGTTTAATAATTAAAGGACATTTCCTCAGTGTTACCTGGGTAAGAATTCTGTTATAATGGCTAATTTTTCTTGTGATGAAACTGCCCCCATAAATAGCAACACATTTGGGTGCCTAAGTCTCTTCATTAAGTCAATCTGATCGAGGAGAGACCAAAAGTTAACTTCTCATGAGTGTTTGTTACCAGCCCAATAGCACGCTAGCTTCTTCACCCCGAGTTAAGAACAAGAATCCAATATAATCCCAAATCCGCTATGATCTTGGGGTGGGTGGGTGCGGGGAGGGGGGGGGGTCAAGATGTACACAGCTTTCCATTAGACTCAAGTTGCATTGCTGCATTTAGTGCCCAAAACTTCACAGAAAGTAAAAAAGGCAAAGGAAGCTAAGCTCAATGTAACATTTTGATTTAGTCCATTATGTACCTGAAACAAAAACATTATCGTCAATAATGACCCTACATGGATTGCCGCATTTACTTCACCGTGAGTATGCATGGTACGTATACCTCTTTCTTGTAGTCGAGCAAGGTTCCCTCGCTAAATTCTTGTCCACGATAAACCTTCACCGCCACATCCTAAAAAGTAAAAAACCAAACATGTTTGTGACATTGTTTGGACAAAGATCACGAGCTAAGGGAATCATTACTACAATGCATATATATACCGATCCATTCCAGATCCCACGATGCACGGTGCCAAATGAACCTGAACAGAAAGAGCATTGAATTATTCATCAGGTCAATAGCTCTGGCTTCTATATATCATACTCAGTTTCTATATATTATTAAGTAGTTTCTTTAATTTTATTGGAGACCAATAATTTACCTTGCCCAATCTCCTCCTTCAAGCTTATATCTTCCCATCGAATTTCATAGTTTCCAATCCGATTCTTAATTTTGTTTAGCAAATCGTCTCTGTTGCTACTGCCCACAACAAGCTCCACCTTCTTTGGAGACTGTGGATTGTATTCTAACTGCGGCTGTGGCTGCTGAATTGCATCTCTTGACAACATTTTGTTTTCAATATTAATAATGGGAGTGTGTGTAGGTATATAGCCAGCAGCTGCTTCCTTGCTTGCTGAACTGGAGAGGCGGCAACCATTTGGCTGATATTTGTTCCCAAACTTGTCCTTCCCCAGTTTCACAATCCCCGCGATGTTCAGCTTTGAGAAGAAGACCTTCGCTGCTGCCTACAAAATGTCCCAGACATGTTTTCATCAGCTTTCTCATACAACAAACAGTGGATCATGCTAGGAACCCACTACCGGTGCTCCCATGAATAACAATTACAGATGATTGGTAATCGTTTGTGTATGCATAAATTGTCTATGATATGATTGTCATCCACGGGGGCAGTCGTGGTTGGTTCATAGCATTTTTGGCAAATAGTACTTAATTACCGGTGGTGCCTTAGGTGGCTTATTATGCCACCTTGCATCTTTAGGGTAATCTAAACATGATTCCCCCTCCTCCTCCTCCTCCTCCCCATAGATTTGGCATTCATCCTCTCCTCCACCTTCCTTTGAGAAAATCTTGGAGGCCTATATTTAATCCGTTTAAAACAGTTCAACAACATATAAGAAATGTATGTTCATGTTACGATCCCACAGAAACACATGATACATGAAGAAATTGAAAGTGATGAAGAAACAATATCATGAATTTGAGTGTCATATCATATCAAGAATATAAAAGTACCAAATTGGCGACATATGATGCAACAGGGGGGCGGGAATGGGGTGTTTTTCGGAAGCGTCTGGGATACAATGTTGGCGAAACCGCGATGTTCAATATAGAGGCATCACTTGAAACAGTGATCACGCCCGAAACCTCATCATCGTCGTCGTCGTCATACAGTGGAGTCTTTGTCACCATTGCCATGAATGTGTGACCGGACCTTTTCTTGCAGGGAAAGAGACCCGACCAGGAATCGTTGCGCGACCGTATCCGCTCCTCTATGCTTCTAATCCATTCATGATCATCTTCCTCACTCGCCAGCAGCTCTATTCCACTCTCCCCCAGTACTTCATCCTCCTTGTATCCATACAGTTTTTCAGCACATTTGTTCCTGAAACACATGCACCCATGTATATATGCCTTTTTATGTGGGAGTTTTTCCAAGATTTGAAATACTCTCCTCGTTCGTCTTAGAGTAACAATCTTGTTTTGATTTTTTGGGTCAAAATAAAGTGTGATCACCAATGAAATAACATTATTAGTACAAATGACTCCGTAAGATATTTGCTTTTCTTATAAATGCATATATAGGTTCTAAAATCCTTATAAAAAAAGGGATGAGCCCCATCCCGACGGCCCCCTTAGACCCGGCGGTACGATCACTGAGAGGAGATAAATTAGACTGTAATCACACATATGGTTATATGGTCTCCCAGCACAATTGACAGGAATCCAACTGCGTAGTGCCCACCGGCGGTTTTAAAATCCTTATTACATTTATGAGAGAGGGAGGTAGGGAGATTTTTTTTTGGGATGGTACCAGTAGATGATGTCGTGAGTGGAGGTGGGCCTGGAAACGTGAAGTGCGTGGCCCATGCAATCCAATATCTTCTTGTACGGGCTCCCGCCGGAAAGGAAAGCCCCACTGACGTTACCCCATCCCGGATATGACGACGACAACCACCTCGCATCGTCGCCGCCTCGCCCTGCGGCTGCTGCCAAATCAGCTGACGCTGCCGCCGCCGCCATCATCATCTGCTCTTGGCGGCCGCTGCCGCCAGAAGAAAGTTCGTGGAACTGTTCCCGGAGCGTGGCCAAGCTCGCCTCCAGATTCCGGCACCGTTCCGCCACTGCTTCATACTTACTACCGCCATTCTTCTCGGATTCTCCGTCCATAGCTTAGTGGTCGGTCGCATGCTAGCTAGCTAGCTCCTCATATACGTACGTACTCCCTCTAACAAATTTTATCCGGCCAGTACCGCCCTGTAAATGTATTTTTAAAATAATTGCATTAACATTTAATTTTATCTAGCTAATTATACCTTTTTCTTTTTTGGGGGTTTTCCAACGAAAGTTAAAGAAGAGAAAATTTTATTCTTTGGGTATTTTTTTTTTCCTTTTTCGTCAAACATTTGGAGTTTTATTTTGGATATATAATTTTTTGTTTGTTGTTGTGAAGCTCAATTCTGAATAATGCGGACTTTTTTGTGTTCTAGACGACCCACCCTTATTGTATATTGGAATTTTTTGAATAAAAGAGGGTGGAAATACCGGTCATGCCACGTGTCGGCTTGCATGAAAGGTTGGCAATCGGCGCCCCGTTTCCAATATTTTTTTTCTTTTTCGTGTTTGGAAAAAAATTGAAGTGTTATTGGGGGGTTTGATGACTCGGACGCACGTAGAATGATGTGGCAGTTCTATCCCGCCCACGCGTCGAACTCTAATACCTTCGCTTTTTATTTTTTTTTATTTTGCTTCGCCGCGTGACTGATCAGAAAACTAATTATTGTCGTAAAATTGATTAATGTAAAAATAGTTCGGGTCTATTTGCTATACACAGAATTGACAGAATTAAAATTGAATTGAAAATTAAAATCTAATGAAATTGATTTGATGATGTTGAATTCTCCGGTTCTAATTAATTATTGACACTATCAGTTTTACATCTACATAATTTTGTGCTACTAAATAACAGAATTAAAATTGTTATTCCTAATACCAATTTCATAATTTGAATTCTGCGTATCAAATAGAGTCTAAATATAATTTGATTTTTTTAAATTTATATCATCCCTCCGTCCCACAAAACTTTTCTGATTTTGATTTTTAAAAGATTTAGAAAAGTGTATTTTGATGTTCAGTTTCTAAAAATATCTTTAAATGTTACGGGTAAAAATAAAATATGTTGGAGAGGTTAATAGTAAAAAAAATCAAATTGAAGTAGGAATGAGAAAGTTTTTCCTGGATGAATGAATTGAAAGAAGAATGAAAAAGATTTTGTGGGAGGGAAGGATTTTTTTTTTTTTGAAAACAGATTTATTTTTCATTATGAAAGTGTTGATTTGGGGACTCCATCAACTTGAACGTCTAATTTTAGTGCATCATTAAATTAAAATCTAAAAATAATATCATGGGATCTGAGTAATACACGTATTGATTGAAAATGTCAAAAAAAGAGCATTTTGCGTCATCCAAAGTGTTTATCCGATCGATATCCATAATAACGAATAGCTAGTCCACGCAAGGAATGTATCCTTTACTTTACTCGATCCCGGCCTATTTTATTTATTTTATACGCGCCATGTTGTTTGGCACACCATAAATCACACCCCAACAACAAAATTAAGGAATAATTAATTAAAGAAGACTAGCTAGCTAGGTGCTCCGCACAATTTATTAATTTCGCATTATCTATTAGTAATTCGGATAATCTATTGCGGTATAAATGGAATTTAATTCACCCGAGTATGTATAATACATGCTAAATAATATCAATTAATAATATCGTAAATAATATAAATGCGATGAACACGCAATGATTACCAACACGAGAAAAAGTCACAAACCTTTTTCACTTGGTACCATGTCAATGGGGTGTGTTATTATTGATAATCGAGCCGGAGAATATTTACACAACTTATTTGCGTGATAAGATCGGGAAGATGATGATACAATGGACTAAAATTTGTAAGACTAAAATTTTAATTTAATTTATTCTCTTTCAAATAATTGTCATATAAGATGGATATATCTTTTTTTTTTGTATGAACATTGTTATATTCACTATTATTTTGATTGAAATCAATATTTTATGTTAATTGGACACCTACATCCTCAAAAGTAGACTTGTACGGAATATCTAAATTCCTGTTTTTATAGTTTCAAAAATTAAAATTATAAATTGAACACAAATAAAATAAATTTAATCAAACTAAGAGTGGATATAACAACACTATTTTTGTATGTATTCTGTTTTTCTTTAATAAAATTGAGTAAGAGCCTAAGAGCACAGGAAATATCGGGGATTCAAACATTTGTTTATTTTTGAATATGCATTTTATAAAAATAAATTAATAAAATTTCATTAATTGATTAAATTAAAACTGAAATAATTCATTAAATAAAAAATACATTAAACAAAACCGAGTCTGAGTCCGCCAAATTCACTGGTTGGAATTACGTTTCAGGAAATATCAGAAAACTGATAATTGGTGAGAACTAATTTTATAAGAAGAAGAAGAAAGTTGAAGATTTGTGTATGTTTTATTTTAAAAAATGAGAGTGAACTTATAGAGTAAAAAAATTTTGTTTTTTAACTCAACGGCATTAGCCGTTTGAAGGAGGAGCCGAGCTTTTCCTCCTCTCTTCCACGTTAAAGGTTTAGTTTAACGCACACCAAATAACGCCTCCTTGACGATTAGGGAGGCATGTTTAACACTTCTAAGGCGTTAAATTTTACATAAAGCAAAAAAACGTTAGAAGTATTTCCACTTTTCTAAGAGGACTAGAGGAAAGGAGAAAAAGGGTACACCGTCCATCACTATGCATTTTATGCAAAATTATATGGAGTCTACAAATTTAAAAAAAAAAATCATATTGGCATGCAGCTGTCTTTCATTTTTCCCCTTTCAATTCACATCATCTATAAACTGTCTTCTTCAAACTAGATTTTTCGCTCTTTACACAGGGAATACATTTCGTATTCACCCTTCCTCTTCCTCGACTCGATCTAAAAAGGATGGGTTCCACTTTCTCCGATCTGTTTCATCTTGGCGGTGCGTGCGCCTCGCCGCCGGCCAATCCCGGCCTGGGTGACATGCCGGAGAGCTGCGTGGCGTCGGTGCTGCTCCATCTTGACCCGCAGCAGATCTGCCGGCTCGCGCCTCTCAATCAAGCTTTTAGGGGCGCCTCCTCCGCCGATTTTGTTTGGGAATCGAAGCTTCCGCCTAATTATCCGTCTCTTATCCAAAGGGTGTTTGCGGACGAGATATTTCTGGCAGATTTGTGCAAAAGGGACATTTTTTCCAAGCTCTGCTTCCCAAATTCCATCGATGGCGGCTCAAAGGTCAGATCCCTTATGTTTTCTCTCCACGCTTTCAACTTCATATGTGCTTATTGTTGAAATGTTTCTCGTGAAGGTGTAATAGTTCTTGAATTTATGCGAGAGCCAAGGAGAAATTAGGGTTCGAGATTTTCTTTAAAGCCAGCCTTGTTTGAAAGATCTTTTATAATACTCCGTATAAGGGTTCTTGATTTCATCTCATATGACGATTGATGATTTTATCTTGAAGCCAATGAGATAGAAAGTTTCAGATTTTCAATTAAATTTGATGTACGATGATGAAATGCATGATACATCTTTAGATCATGACTCAATCTGTCTGTGGAACTTCATGATTTGTAGATGCCTATGTTCTGATTCCCTTCATAGAGATTTTACACTTTGGGTGTTTTAGAGATGTTAGCCCATCTTGTGCTTTGATTGATTCATGATTATCTCTGATGATGAAAATTTTAAATATTCTGCAGAAAGTTTGGTTGGATAAGAATACAGGGAAGGCTTGTCTTTTGGTGGCTTCACACGGACTGTCCATAACGGGCATTGATGATAGGAGACATTGGAGCCGAATTCCAACCGAAGAATCAAGGTGAGGTGCCACTTTGATTATGTTGGAAATGGATCTTTAATATGTTCTGCACTTATCCTCTAGAGTTCTATAATCATGTGATGCAGAATGAATCATTCATTAATTCTCAAGAAGCTTGTTTTGTTCATTGTGTACCTACATGATAGATGTGATTGAACCCTATATCTAAGGGTAAAAGAAATCATAGATCTAGATCCATTGTTAGAGAGGGAGAGAGTACATAGACGGAAGACTTGTGCGTGAGGGGTGCCATGAATTGATCTCCTTCATCAAGTCATGGGGAGGGTATGTATACAAATTACAATTTAAGTGGGTCTTGGCCCAAACAAAGTAAGGTGTTAGCGTGTAGTCCAGCAGGATCTATCTGAAGCAATTGACAATTCTACCAAGTAAAGGGAGGCTGTCATTGTGGTGTCAAAGAGTCTGGCTATTTCCCTTGAGGCTGAGTATTAGTTCCTAGCGTACACACCGAGCTGGGTAGTCAGACATGACCCTCATTTAGAATCCTTCCTGGCCAGTTAGCCTCGTTCTCCTTCTTCCCTGGTCCTCCTTGAGCTAGGCTTCAAAGTCTTATTTTTAATTGGGCCGATCTTCCAGCCTTAATATAATAATATATCCTTCAATCTGTTTTCTCGAATATATAAGAGTAAGTGTGTGGTTTGTTTGTATTTGTGGGGTGATTTTGCTGATTTAGAAACAAAATCACTTTGGCCCACAATTACGGAAATAACCATTCACATAGTTAGCACCTAGCTCTTTTTATTTCCATGATCACCTTGTTTTGAAAATGTTAAACCAAACCACACTAAATATAGTTTCAGGAATGGTTCTACATTTTCACTTTTCAGACCGTGTTTGGGTAGCTTATCAAGTGTATTCTGTTTGAAAACAGAATGAACGCTTGTTCGGTAGCCATTTTTGGCTTACAGCTTGTTTCATTAATGGCTTAGAGATGATTGAAATGAAAGTTGCTTTTCTTTTGGAAGGAATTCATTAAAATGTCAATTCATCCTTCATTTTTAGATATAGTTTTGTTAATTTCTAAACAAGATGTGCTGATGATGGTGATGATCAAATGGTTCGACATTTCAGTTATACGTTTAGAAATGCTTCTAAAATAGGAGTGAAACATGACTAAGTATCTAAATAGAACTTTAACTCTTTGTATACTTAAGTAAATAGGAGTTGCAATATCAACAATGCCAATGTTATGTCAATGTTGATGACAGATGGTGCAGTCTGTGAATGTGTCATTGTCTAAGTGTGTCAATGTGTCATTCTCAATGTTTACTTTTATATAGGTATAAAAAGAGTTGAATTTCTATTTAGGTACTATGACAATGTTTTCCTCCTTGTTAGGCATTTAATACTTATACTTTTGAGGACTAGCCATCTTGGTACCAAAGCACTTCATGTACAGTATCTAATCTAGCTCACACGAGTCGCGGATCAACCAAATAATTAACCATCTTTTTTGTCCTCTCATGTAGATTCAGTTCAATTGCATATCTCCAGCAGACATGGTGGCTTGAGGTGAACGGCGAGATTGAATTTCCCTTCCCTGTGGGGTCATACAGCCTATACTTCAGGCTGCACTTGGGTCGTGCCACCCGGAGATTCTGCCGCCGAGTTTGCTGTACAGAGCACGTCCACGGTTGGGACAAAAAACCGGTTCAGTTCCAGCTGTCAACATCCGACGGCCAGCAGGCAACGAAGCAGTGTTACCTGAACGAACCGGGGAGATGGATTTACCACCACGTCGGAGATTTTACTGTGACTGGCGGTCCCGCCGAGCCGATGAAGCTGACGTTTTCCATGACCCAGATCGACTGCACGCACACCAAAGGCGGCCTTTGTGTAGATTCTGTACTTGTCTGTCCTGTCAACTCTGTCAAGAGAGGTTAAACGGCTTCCCCTCTCTCTCTCTCATCTCTCTTTTAGCCCTCTTATATTTTAGTTTGCAAGGGTAAAAAAAGAAAAAGAAAAAGAAAGTCGGTTTGTTTGTAACAGTTATGGCTCTCCTTTTATATAAGCCATAATATAATATAGTAAATGCACAATGTAGTAGTGCAGAAGTTGGTCTAGGATGGTGATTATAAGCTTTTGTTAATCCGGATATATATATATGTGTTCATGGCTAAGTAAGTTTTGTATCTCATCAGCATTGGCTGAATATGTTGATTGAAGGTGAACTGTTGAGGCGTTATTATGGCTTTTGTACTCTGTTTTATTATGGCTTTGTTTGGCAACCAGAACAGCTTCTACTTATTTTTGACTGAAATGAGCCAATTTCAGCTCATATGTTTTTACTTGTTTGGGAAAACACCATTACAAGTAGTTTGAGCTGTTTAGCCACCTGAATGTTAGAGAAGATGAAATCCATTCTCTTATGTCTATTCGTTCTTTCTTTCTTTTTCTGTCCCCAAAAAAAAAAAACTCAAAAACTTTTTTTTCAGGGAAATGAAAAAGTGACCCGGTTCTTATTTATGAATGTCAAACAGAATACTCCTTGAAAGGCTACTATTAACGCGACGTTATTGCTCGCCTTCCATTCCACAGAGTAGTAGCAGTTGTAGAGGCGATTTCAATTAATGTCAAAATATGTTTATTTGTAGTATTTATTTCAATCGCTTATTGGGCCATGGCTGACCTCTTTTGTTCCTAGTGGCTCGAAAGCCCGCCCCATTGGACCAGCTTGTTGGACCTGTCCATTCGCTTTCACATTTGGTTTTAGCGCTTATAAAAAGACACACACACACACACACACAAAATACCCTCCTCTTTTGATAGCTACCACTGCCTCTTCCTCCCACTACCTCAATCCCCACCACAATTACAAGTCCCACCGCACAGAAATCTTAGACCTAAAAAAATGAGTATTAAGGGGGAGAGGAAATACATATGTCACATCATCGTTCCAACCATAGTTTTTAGAATCGAACCGGTGATCGAATCGGTCAAGGCACTGGTTTACTGGTACACTGGTCGAACTAGTGGTTCGAGTGGTTGAACCAGTGGTTCAAATATTTTTAATAAAAAAATGAATAAATAAATAAATAAATATAATACTGTTCATTTTCGTTTTGGGATATCCTAAGGAAGTCTCTTTTTTTTAATTTTTGAAAAATTTTGTGTCTCTTATTTGCATCATGTTCAATATAACAAAATTTAAATTTTCTTAATCTATGTAACAAATCAAATAGAGACAATTATTTTGAGATGAAGGGAGTGTGTTAAAAAACATTGATGCAAAAATTTAAAATATTACTACTCATTTTCAAGAAAATAAATTTTCATTTGCCTTTGGCAAGTCAATCAAAAGTTGTAATTCTTGACTACAATATATTTAAAAAAATACATTGTATTTTGTGATACAAATTTAATATGCCAAATATATGAATAGAAAACTTTTGAGACCATTTTTCCAAATAATAGCACTTTTATTTAAGACCATCGTTATACTCCCTCCGTCCATGTAAGATCTTCCCATTACGCGTTACGAGGCTTGACCGACTTTATTTTCAATTCAATTTAATTCATTATAGGAGTAAAATTTTAAAATAAAATTTATATAGTAATAAATTACATAAAAAGTTCTACAAAATTAGAGGTGACAAGACTATATTATTCAATGAAATGACTAGTAAAAATGAGCAAACAATGTGATTAAAGTTTGACCCTGTAAATAGTGTCTGGGAAGATCTATGGTGAACAGAGGGAGTAACTTTTGTCTCCCCTCTCCGTTTCAAAATAAATTACAATCTTTTTTTATTTATTCTCTTGAAAATTTTTGTTTATTTCTGTGTTAACGTGCCAAAAGTTATTATTTCTCTTTATTTGAGACAATATCTTTTTTTTTTTTGGAAACATTACATCATCTTTCAAAAAAATACAGTAGCACTTAGCCACTTAATAACTTTTGAAAAAAATACCCTGTATCTTGTGTCCACGTATATTTGAGATCATCTCTCCGTACATTCAACAGTTGCTTCTTTTTTCCGTTTGTCTTTTGATTCGAGTAAATTAACAACAGTAGGCTAATTAATTGAGAAGAAACAAACAACATGCACATGTTAAATCAAAGTAGAGACACCTACAACCGGCCGGCCGGCCACGACTTCCCCACGCTTTCACCTTTTCATATCTATTTATTGGTAACATTTTTCCACAAATCATTCCCTATAAATACATTAATGTTTCTCTTCCTTTCCACATCTATATATATATATATATATATATATATATATATATATATATATATATCTACTCCCCTTTATATTGACACCCCAAGTGAAAAGCATATATAATTAAATGACCTTTATTCCATTCAAAACCAACTAACCCATAGTCAACACCCTATCTAGTCAAACTCCATCCGCCGTCCACCGCCGGCTGCGCCACCATGCGTCCTGGTACCACGCTTGGCACAGCTGCCGGAAAACACCCGCTGTTTCGGGGGATTCGGACCAGAAGCGGCAAGTGGGTTTCCGAGATTCGCGAGCCCGGAAAGACCACGAGGATATGGCTGGGGACTTACCCGACGCCGGAGATGGCGGCGGCCGCATATGACGTGGCGGTGCACGCCCTTAGGGGAAACGACGCCGTGCTCAACTTCCCAAGCCTCGTGGACAGGTACCCCGTGCCTGGTTCCCATTCGCCGGCGGATATCAGAAGTGCCGCCGCTGCCGGAGCTACTATAGTTCAGCGGATTCATAGCGGCGGTGATTGGGGAGCAGGAGGCGTGAATGACGGCGCACGTCCGGCGGCGGAGGTGGATGAGATGCACGGGAACGGGGAGTACGTCGACGAAGAAGCTTTATTCGATATGCCCAATTTGCTGGTGGACATGGCGGGTGGCATGATGGTGAGTCCGCCGAGAATGAGTGCGCCGGCAGCCGATGATCCGCCGTCTAATTCCGACATTGAAAGTCTATGGAGCTATTAATGTACTAACGTGGAGCATATATGCACGGACTAGTTCTACGTATATGACCTGCATGGAATGTCATGCAAAGAAATGGAAACGGTGTTCGTAGTTTTTTTTAAAAAAAAAGATTAGTGTCCCTAAAAAAATAGTCGTATAAAAAAATGAGTTTTTGGACTCATTTCCCCCAAATTCTTCATAAAATTTGTGTTTCCTCTCCAAGGTTTAAAAAGTGCATCATTATATCAGTCTTTCTAATACTTCCTCCGTCAAAAAAGATGTTCACACGCACTTTGTTTTTTTAAAAATTTAAGAGATACTCCAAAAATATTTTTGATGTAATAGATAAAAATAGGATTCGATATGATGTGTTGATTATTAGTAAAAAAAAGTATAATGTAATAGATTTATTAAAAATTAGTATGAGTAAAAGTGATTTTTTAATAGAGATGAGAAAGATTTTGTGGGACAAGTAAGAAAGAGAGAAAAAATGAGTTTTTTGAAAGGATGAAGTATTAAAAATAGGGGACTTTACTTAAATGTCAATAAAACATAATACTCCCTCTGTTTGGAAAAACCCTTCCCATTTGATTTGGGGGCAAAAATAAGGAAGTGTTAAATTATACTCCCTCCGTTCCACAAAACCCTTCCTCTTTTATTTTTTTTGCTTTCCACAAAACACTTCCACTTTCTATTAAAAAACCACTTTTACCCCTACTTTTTCATACCCTACATATCACATCATACTTTTTTACTAATAACTAAGCTATCACATCTTACTTTTTCTCATCACATCAGGGGCAAAATTGGAAAGTCAACCATAATTACACTTTCCTTATTTTTCTCCAAAGTCAAAATCGGAAGAGTTTTGTGGAACGGAGGGAGTAGTTGATTTCTAATTTTGCCCCTGATGTGATGGGTAAAAGTAAGATGTGATGGATAGATTATTAGAGAAAAAGTATGATGTGATAGGTAGGGTATGAAAAAGTAAGAGTAAAAGTGGTTTTTTAATAGAAAGGGGAAGTGTTTTGTTGGAAGTAAAAAAATGAAAGAGGAAGTGTTTTTGAGAACGGATGGAGTAATTTTTTCTAAATAGCATCATATATGTGTTTTTCCAATGTAGCGCTTTTACTCATTATCCATTAGTCAATATTCAAGTAAATATTAGACATTATTAAGTGTTATTCAGGGAATAAAACAATTTAAGTGATATTGAGTGAAATAACTTAAGTTTTAGTGCTATTTATTAGGGCAAATATTTCTCAAAAATATTAGACGATGCATGGTTCATCTCCACTATTTGAGGATTTTGACTTAACATGAATATTAGCTGCATGGTTCATCACTTATTTGTTGATGATTTTAGTGTTATCGACTATCTTATATAATTAGATTTACTTCTATGAGTTTGAATACATATTGTTAAATGAGTTTATTAGAAATTGTTAAGTTTATATATTCCTTAAATGATACGGAGTATTATAAATTCATTACGTGATCCAGGGTGGCAACCCGTGGTAGCGAGTTCTTAGGGGCATGCAGAGCCCCTGACCAATAGAGGCCAAAACTTATAATATTTGAATGTTTGGGTAAACATTCGAAATCAGGCCAAATTTGCATGCAATAACTCTTCGTAAGGATGCTTTTTTCGTCTCTACGAATATAGAGACGCACAATATGAATGAGATTATTATCGAAAAACAAGTGCTCGTTCTTGAATTAGTGTCTCAGATCAATCCATTCAAGCATTTTAATTTAGTATACTTCCAAATAATTTTAATCTGAGAGTGTTTTCTCACGCAATTTGTTTAATTTATCAAGTCCATTCTTCACATTCGAATAACTTCTTCATAATTCATCCATATATAAAAAATTATGCTGTTAAAAGCGGCACCGAGAAAAAAAGTTATATAGGTCACATAAACTTTTCCAAAGATGAAAAAAATACACCTCCGTCATGAAATGAGTTGCTCAGGCACAATGGGTCTGTTTGGTACACGGAATTGATGGAATTAAAATTGAATTGGAATTACAATTCCATGAGATTCAATTTCATAGAATTGAATTTACCAATTCCAATTCATTTTTTGCACTACCAATTCTAAATCCACATAAATTTTGTGCTATCAAACACTAAAATTGGAATTGAAATTCTCAATTTCAATTCTGTAGTTTGAATTCCGTGTACCAAATGGAGCCTATATGTTCACATAAACAGTCAAAGTTTATTCCCTTTATTTACTTAATTATTTTCTCTGCTTATTAGATTCATGGTCGGTTGAAACAAAAACAAAGTAGGATTTTCATTCGTGGTTTGACCCTCTATGATAGGGAGGGAAATGAAGTCCATTATCTATCTCCTTTGCTCAGTTTGAACATTAACATGAAATATTCAAAGGTTTTGGCCATAATTTCGCGACATGGGGACCCACCAAGCAAGTGACATTAGTGAAAATTTACTCTTAGTCTTGGGCTCTTGGCAATGGCATAAACTCAAAACAACAAAGCTTGTGAATTACAGAGTAATTAATACTCTCTCCATTCCACAAAAAAAGTTCCTATTTTAATGTATTTTCGGCCAAACAGTTGCATCCTTTGACCATAAATTAAACATAATCTAAATAAAAAAATGCTAAAAAAATTTGAGATATCAAAACTAGATCCTAAGATGAATCCAATTATATTAAATTTATTTTACAATTTAATATATTTTTCTCACAATTTGTAGTCAAAGTGTATAAATATTTGACTAAATACTATTCAAAATGGGAACTTTTTTGCGGGGACGGAGGGGGTAAGTAAGAGTATTATGAGTAGATTCTATTATATAGGAATTTTTCAAATGCTTCTTCTTGATCATTTTATGGGTGCTTATATATCCATGGATAATCTTATTGTTAAGTGTTAACCTATTGTTACGTTGGTATTTAATTGAGTGCTACGCAATTTCACAATAATAATCATATGAGAAATTTACCTAAATAAGACTAAAACATAATGACTTTCTCAATATAGGACCATATGTTTTTATTTCCTAATGTAGGACTTTTGATCATTATGAATTAGTCATTATTCAAGTAAATGTACATCTTTACTGGACATTATTTCTCCACTCGACATTATTAAGTCCTATTTAGGGAATAAAAATGTTTAAATCCTACATTAAGAAATGACTTATGTTTTAGTCCTATTTAGTACAAATTTCACTAATCATATATTCTTCTTATCATAGTCAATGCTAGAGGTCGCTCCAGATACATCATTTCTGAAATTGAGTCTTTGTGTACTGCAACTATAGTACATAGGTGTCGTCTATGATCTGAATTCTAGCCCACACGAGTAGTCGTTATTGTTGTATTATATGTCAAGCTCGCATACCATACTGGACCTATGGTCGATGTAAAATTAGAATTTTAGTTCTCATTTAAATTCTAACATAACTAAATGTCAAAAAAGAAATGTCGGAAAAACAATATTCTAAAATAAAGATGAGTCTCCCAGTTTTTGTCCACTTTTGACTTTTGGAACTGTTCATCTAAGCACTTTGACTCATCAAATTCTCTCAATGTGTAAGCCTAAATATAGTCATGTGTGATCTTGTTTGATTTGTGTTAACATATACTCCCTCCGCCCCCCTGTATTTGTCCACATTTGACTTTTGGAACTGTTCATCCAAGCACTTTGACTCATCAAATTCTCTCAATGTGTAAGTCTAAATATAGTCATGTGTGATCTTGTTTGATTTGTTTTAACATATAGATTATTAATATATAATTTTTATAATTTTTTAATATACAAATTACAAGATAAAATGGATTAAAGAAGTGCATTGGATGGTGTGTAAAAATGAAAGTGGACAAATACAGGGGGACGGAGGGAGTAGATTATTAGTATATAATTTTTATAATTTTTTAATATATAAATTACAAGATAAAATGGATTAAAGAAGTGCATTAAATGATGTGTAAAAATGGACAAATACTCTGGGATGGAGGGAGTATGTAATAAGAAAGGACTAAATATAAAAAACGTTATGTATAACCAATTACTCCCTCCATCTTAAAATGATATTCTCAAACACTATTCACATAGTCAAATTTTAATCATTTTCTTTATCTATTTTTAATAATTATTTGATAAAATAATATAATCATGCTTGTTTTATTTTTTACTCCGTGGGTGTGAACGGCGGCGGGGGCTGTTAACACCCGACCATTCAGCTATAATGACGTACGTATAGTTTCATGACCTTTCCTGTACTTTTTTGTCTTACCATATATATGCCGTGTTTTTATATGGATGCCTTTTTAAAAGACTACTACTGAGTACATTGGCCCCGTTTGGCATCAGCGTCAGAGATTAGCATTAATGTTTTGAAAAAGTTATCCGACGGTAGTCTTTAGCGTTAGCTTTTTCAGAATTAATCTGCACCATTAAAATTTTATCCTAAACGCTAACACTAATCGAAAACACTGGTATCTAACAAAGTCATAGTTTTTGATTCAATCTACGTTTAAACATGCATTAATAGTAATTAATCGCGCGCTTCAGTGGATGTAGATCGAATTGGTCTTGTAACGGCCGGCCCCCACACCATAGAAGGGGACACACCTAGGGCTAAAGCTATATGTACATATGGCTGCCCCCACACATTTACACATCAAAAACAAAGAAAAAGTAAAATATTCATATGTCCCCCTAATAATGTTGACTACCCCATTTGTCCTACACCCTTTCTCCACCATCCATTTTTATCTATTTTTTATTTATTTTTTTTTTAAAATTCTTGCCCATTTATGTGGTAATGAAGGGGGTGGGGGACAAATGGGGTACACCTTTAGTGTAAAGGTGTACCCCTAGCATTTTTCAATAATGTTCTCTTTGCACGTTACGATCCTTGATTAAAATTACTTTAAAATTATTTTATATGAAAAATGGTATGAAATTTAAAAATAAAAATTACATATTTAAAAACTATATGAAATATCTACAAAATTAGAGGTGACATTGTAAATAAAGTTTGATCATGTTAATAGCGAACAAAAACATTATTATTAGACAAATAGAGTTCTCAATAGTATATTTTGATTATAGAGTGGTTATTCCGTGCACGCAAAGGTCATGCCTAAATCATAGTTCTATTCACAAAAGTTTTTGAGCTTAAAAGCTAATGTGGAAAAAAAGTCCGTTTCACCCAAGCTAATGTGTCTAATGCCAATGCTAATCTTAATCATAATCTTAATTCTAACCCTAATCTTAATTTCCCAATTCTAATCCCAGTCTTAATGCCCTAATCCTCATCTTAATCCCCTACTCTTAGTCCTAATCTCTTAATCCTCTAATCTTAATCATGATCATAACAATAATGCTAATAGTGATACTAATACTAATGCTAAGGAATCCACTTCCATATCAACAATGTCCATATAATTAGAATGGATCGGAAGACGTACCATGAAAGCATTTGCCTTAATTATGAAGTGTGGAAAAAAGTACTCTGTATGTTTACTTTTAATATTCTAATCTTCTCAAATTAAGTTGCTTGTTCACTGTATATATTGTCAAATTTTATTTAATTTCTTTACACATTTTAGATATGGTATAAAAAAATCCTGTAAGTTAAATAATTCGAAATCGACATATAAATTACGAAGTATGATTATTCAAATATTCGTTTAGGATTCGGAAGCTATTCGAATATTAATCAAATACAAATCTTATTTTTAATTCGTTTCATATTTGTATTCGAAAAAATTAATCAAATACAAATTCAAATATTACGATATTTGATTCAATTCGGTTCGCTTACAATCCCAGTATTCAACAAGGTATATCTGGATGCATACGGGCTCCGATACGTCTGAAGACCGGAATATTTTGGGTCAAGCTGTATAAGTAATACGGGCCGGGACAATGAAGTTATCTGTTCAAGTAAGTCCATGAGTATCTTTAGTGGGCCATTAAAAATATGAGACCTGAAATCTCAATCAAGCCCGCAAGAATTACGTGTCAGCCCTAAAATAAAAAATAAAAAATAAAAACATATCAATCCCATCGTGCGGATTAACGGCTACGATATCGCCTCCTTCTTCCCCTCGTCGCAGTGAAGAAGTTCGTTCTTCCCCGCTCCAGCTCAACCTTCTTCTTCCCCCCCATTCAATTCTTTATCTTGTCCAATCTGTTTGTTCTTTTCTTATAAAAAAGGAATTAGCCTGAGTTAGAAGATTGCCCGGAAGTTCTAATTGTAGATCAACCTTTTTGAAAGCTTTTGGGGGGTTGTTGTGTTCTCAATTCCCGACCATGAGAGGAACGAAGCGATTCGCCTCGTCCGAGTCTCGCTTCTTAACCAGCGACGCAGTAAGTTTAATTTTGTTTAAATTATGCAACTATTGTTAGTATCTAAACACGATGGCAACTTGCATGGTCAGATTCAGATCTCGATTTTACATTGTTTTTTCTTTTCCCTTCAATCTTGTGCAATTTATTAATGAAGTTCTTGTGTGAATTTATTTGTATTGCTTTTCATTTTTGAGAGGGTTTAGGTAGATTTGTGTTCCTAATCCTACTGTAGTTTTCTACGGAGTATTTAAATAGCTGTCGCATAATAGAATTATTTCAATGGATTGAGGTTTTGTCAATGTATATGTTTATCTAGGAGGCAATGTATTCAAAATTGAAAATGCGTTTTTTATCATAAAATTGAGCTCTTTTTAACAAAATATTTGTGAATTTATCTACATGTGCATACTCGTGAAGACTGTGACAGAGTCGAAATTTTACTGAGCTTTCTGTTGTTGTTGTTGTTGTGTGTGTGTGTGTGTGTTTCACGGCTCTTCAAATAAGTATCCCTTGCCCTCCTTGAAATGTCCATGTTTGGGTAACCCGGTACCCAAATCCTTTGTAGAATTTGGAAAAAGTTGGTACTTCCCTGTTTTCAATCATACCCGGCTACGCATACCTGTCACAGTGCAAATTTGGTTGTTGTAGTTTTTGTGTCACTCATCTGTTGATAAACGGATTTGATAATAAGTGCTTTATATTTTTGCTTTCTTAGTTCTCAGTTCCTTTGCAGAACCAAAGCAAGAGACTTTTGGATGGGTCACTTTTTGATTCTCAAAGGGCAGAGCCATCCCAGCAGCTGTCAGTTGCTTCCCCACAGTTGGATATGCGGAGGGCTGAATCATCCAGGCAACATGTCAGGGCTCTCAATACTCAGTTTGCAAGGTTTGTAATTCTTCATCCTAGCTCAACTGCCCCTTTTTGTGAAACGCTTATAGCAATAATTGAATATTAAAATCACCTCTTACTTTTAGTAGAAAAGATCCTTTTTTTAAACATAAAACTAAAATCCACCATTATGTGTCTATGCCATGTGTGTTTATTTTGAGATGTTTCTCTTTTTTTTTTTTGCTTGTGATTTAAATGTATGCAGCTTAGACTTGCATCCTAACAAAAGATGATTTTATAGAAATTAAAATTGATTTTAATCTCCTTTGATCCCCTCTAAATATAAATAGTTTAATACTATGTTTACGTAATAGATAGTGCTAGTGTTTTATGTTCTTCATTCTTTTTAGCACATTGTTTATAAAGGCAAAGAATTGTTTTTTTTCACAATGAATATCTATATCTAGCTTTTTTGTTGTTCTAAGCAGCTGGGTGCAAACACAATTGCAGAACCACCCTGATGAACTATGGGAAGATGGTGTCCAAGACTATTTAACCCATGCTTCATCCATTATGGTACATTTTTACATGTTAATAATAATAATAATAATAATAAGTTTACACATTCTTGCTTAACTTGAAGGTGTGTCGTAAGGTAAAGCGAGCTATGATAGTCTAATCTTAGGTGGTCTTTTGCAGGAGAAATTTAGTGATGTTGTAAACTGGCTGAAAGCAAATGGTGCCAAAGGAGCAACCACTTCCTTGCTAGGATTTCAGTCAGCTCCAAAGACAGCAGTCACATCTGAAAATAAAGAAAGCAAGAGTACCTCCTTTATGGGATTTCAAACAGCTCAAAAGCCAGTTGCCTCAGAAAATAAAGAAAACAAAAGCACATTATTTCTGGAAAAACCTCATATTCCCGAAGCTAATGCATCTTCGAGTTTTGGCACTTCCTGGAATTCGGGACCAATCTTTAACAACAAAACTCCATTTTCATTTGGTGGGTATTTTTTGCATTGTACCAATTTTTACTTTTTAAAAAAAAAATTGTTTCATTATTTTAATGTTGATGTTCACACATTAAATCCTACATTGTCAGCTTATTCTAGGTTTCATTTTCAGATTGTATCTCTAAACTGGCGTTTATGTTCTTCTGGTTTGATAAATAAAGATTGATGTTGTATGTGTACTTTGTACTACAACTTTCCTTCTTCATCTTTCGTGAAAAGAAATTTAGGTGGTGTACATTAGAAAGCGACTGCTGTTATGTTTTTTTATTTTATTACTGGACTTGGTTCTCTTCATTTGTCAGCAACTTTAATGGTGGAGATAGGTCAAGGCTTTAGTCTTTAACGGCTTTTTGAAACGTTGACCCCGGAGTTATTTTAAATGCTTCAATTATGTTTCTTCCAGGACTTCAGAGTCCAGTTATGCAACCTCAAAATGCAGTGACTGCAAACAATGACATTTCAAATGATGCAGATGCTGGTAGGAGATCACTGCTTCCTTTCGTTTTAAAAGTGCCAATTCTATTTATTACTCTGAATCTTATATCATACTTATTCTTGTGTATTACGGAGTACTATCTTTTGTTCAATATCATCATGCAATGGATGTGAAATTTGTGCTATTATAGAAGAAGGTGAAATAGAGCAGCCAGACAGTCCATCCGTAAAGAAGGTTGAAGAGATTGGAGTCACTGTTGTCCATGAAGTCAAATGCAAACTTTATGTGAAGGTGATCTTTTGTATATACTCATATCAACGGTTATGATTAATACTATACTCTTTAGGGGATGTTTGGGTAGATGATCTTGGAGGGTTAGCCTTTATATCTTCATAAATAGAATGTTTCTAAAAACAAATTAAAGTTGATTGAAATGTTATACAATGACATGATTTGTTACTCCGTAATATATTATACGGAGTATATATTATTCCCTTAAAGAAATGTTTCGATATTCATTTGTAGACAGAGTGACTTTACAGATTGTATTTACATGCAACTCCAATACAGTAAGTCTAGATATGTGCTTGACCGTTGCCTTGATAGGCTTTTTAGTTTCTTAGTCATTTTTGTATTACCAGTCAAGTGATCCAGCAGACGAAGATGCATGGAAAGATAGAGGCACAGGTCAGCTATCTATAAAATGTAAAGAAGGTGCTAGCAAGGGTACCCGTGAATCCAAACCCACCATTCTCATTCAAAATGATGTAAGAGCCTTCCTTCCTTAAACTTCTGTCTTTCTGTAGCTTTCTCTCTGAGATCTTTTCTTAACGATTATATATTGTAATAAATAATAATATTGTTGTTATTTATTTATTTATTATTCTTTGATCTCTTTCAGGTTGGCAGGGTGATGCTCAATGCATTACTATATCCGGGCATCAAGACGAACTTGCAAAAAAACTCACTTGTTTCAATATTCCACACCGCGGTATTTTTCCCTCATCATTTTCCGTGTTCCAAACAAACCCTACGTGTATTTTAAATTTGACACTGATTATGTTCGTAGGAAGGGGAGAACGGCAGCAGTGTTGTAGCACAGACATGTTTGATTAGAGTGAAATCTGTAGAGGACAGGGATAAGTTGGCAGCAATCATCCAGGAGTGTGCTCCTGCTTCATGAGAACAATGGAGTAAAACCACTGTTGTATTTTTTTTTCTTTTTTTTTGTTTGAGCTCCGACGGAATACTCACATTTTAAGATGGGATTTTTGTTCCCCAATGAGGATGTTTTTGGATTCATTAACAAGTAGCCTGGAAATTACTTTTTTTTAGAATGATGAATATTGACATCCAAACAAGCCAATAAATTGCACATTTGCATTGCTCCATCCACTTCCTATCAGTGTTTTCTGTTTTCTTAAAAATGCCCAAAACTTTGTGGTCGAACAACATAATTGCAATTCTCTCAAATAAGAGAACAAGAGATCACATCTTCAAGCTCCAAAGAGGGTTTTTTTTTTGTGTTTCAACAGTTTAAGAAAGTATGGGTTAATATATACAGAGTAGTACAGAGTATTATATTGTACCCTCTCTGTTCGGATATGTTATCACTTTCTGTTCGGTCTGTCTGAAAATATTTCCTAAAGTTAAATGTCAATAATATCCTTTCACTCTAACACCCACTCACACAAATTAGTTCACCCCCAAATTAAAGTAGAGCGATATTCTTGGAAGTTTGACACTTACTCTTAAATAAGCATCCAAATCAACTTGGGAAGAACATTTTCAGACTGACAAAGTAATAGAATACAACACAAACAGCCCATGACCAAGAACATTAAGAAGCGTCTTGTGATGCTTTCAATTTTTTCTAAGAGCAGAACCAGGGGTCAAATTGGGAAGAAACAAAATGGATAGAGGATGTAATTTTTATTGGGCCCTATTGATTCAATGGCTGTTTGTTAATCTGCCCTTGAGGAGGGCAACATATTATTAGGCTACAAAAGCATAATTACTACATCATTAGCAACTGAATTCTCTAAACAGGATAAAAACATCATTACAACATAGGCCCAAACTGAAACACTCAAAAACAGAGTATACACAAATGATTCCACAGTTTAAGGTTACAAATAGGCCAACAGGGAGGGGGGGGGATCGATGTCTCACACTAGCACAGAGGCAATACAGGACATTATATTATAGAATCATTTAAAAGCGGGTTCAATCAAGTTACATCGACTTGTCTTACAAACATGCCGGAATTATTTCTTATAATATGGGCAGTGGTTTGGAGGATCAAACCGAACACACCTTCTCAAACTCGTTTTGCTCTTTACGGCACAGCTCAAACTCATTGGTGTGGTAGTACATGCACCCTGCGTAAGCATCCATCTCTTTCGTGCACCTTTGATGGAGATCTTTCAACCTACCACAAAAGAATTATAAACAAACCACAATTCCATCACTAGTTACTTGAACCATCAAAAGGCATCCTATGGTCATATTCCCCCTTCCCAAGTTGCAATATATATAGTCCGTAAACAAAATACGGAGTAAAGAAACAATGAATCAATTCATGTATATACACATGATACTCCTCCCAATGTTAAAGATACAAGCCAAACAAAGCACATCCACCTTGCCCCTCTTATTTCTCTCCCCACGTTCAGTCTCCCACATTCCAGCTTCCTCTCAATTCAATTTGTGGACTACCTCTTGTTAACCAAAACTAGGGTGTTGCTTAGAAAAGCATGATAATGTTCGTATTGGATCCAGATTCATGTTTGTTAGTTTGTTTTCTCTTTCATCCAGATTTAGCAACCACTAGATAGTGATGACCCTTTGTTTTCAACAGTTTCAGTAAAAATGTAATGCACATACAATGCCAGAAACATGAATACAAAAAGGAAATGTAGATTCAGTTCAATCCAGATTCCAGAATTTATAAACATTAGCAATTGCACATTCGTCCGGCGTAGATATCACAAAAAAACTATGCAGTTCATAAGGAAAGTTGCAGGTTTGAGACATAAAATCTTAAGAAATTGGGTGATATCTGTATCAGTTAGATGCTTACAGGCCAAGAACGCAGCGAGTGACCTGGTGACCTTTGTCGAGGCATTTCTCGGGGTTAGGATCGTTTTTCTTGCATTTGAGGAACGCCACGTTCTCGCTCCGGCACCGGGTTCCGATGTGCTTCGACGCCGCCATCAGCACCGACGAAGTCGGGATCGGAGCTCCTCCGGCGTCCACCGTACTCCCCATGCTCCGATCGCTTGCCCTCCTCCTCTCTGAGCTGCAAAATCAATCAATCTTCCGCTGATAAGAAAACAGCTGCTCCGGTGCCCGCTCGCTCCTCAGGCGACCACGGTCGTCGCGTGAATTTACACACCTAGAGAGATTTGGCTCGGATGGTTTGGGCTGTAAATCTCTTAGGATGGGCCTTTTTACACATTTTAGCCCATTATCAACCGGACTTTGGGCATGTATGACAGTTTGGAAGCAACAAGAATGGGCCGAACGGTTCTTGAAAGAGTTTTGGTTTGCTTTAGAGAAATAAATAAATACTCCCAAAAAAAAGAGTAAATTATATAAAAGGTCTCAGTTATAGGTCGTTTTACATATTTAGTCCCTACATATCAAATATTACTAATTTAGTCCCCAATTATTATATTTATTTCCACGAATGGTCCTTTGTTAACATTTCCGTTAAGAACGTGGATAAAATTGTATATTCATACTTCTCTCTCTCCTCAATTAAGCTTTCTTCATCTTCTCATACTCTTTCCCAAACTCGTCGCTGAGTTTGAAGCTCTTAAACCCAAAATTTAAATGATCGTTCCTCCAGTTAGACAAACAATTGAGAGAAGAGTGATGATTTTGGTTTAGGGTTCAAAGCTAGAAACTTAGCGACGGGTTTGAGAAATGAGTACAAGGGATGAGAAAGCTTAATTGAGGAGAGAAAGGAGTGTGAATTTATAATTTTATCCACGTTTTAATGAAAATGTTAACAAAGGACCATTCGTAGAAATAAATATAATAATTGGGGACCAAATTAGTAATATTTGATATGTAGGGACTAAATATGTAAAACGACCTATAACTGGGGATTTTTTTATGGAATTTACTCAAAAAAAAAGAAAGAAGAGAAAATGAGATGAGTTTGAGTGTTGCGTGAAAGGAGTAAGGAAAAATGTCAGTAGCAGAGGTGGGGCAGAATGAATCAGTGCAGTAAAGTAGTCTCCCACTTGGGTCATGCTACATTTACACCATAAATTGTACCCTATTTGTACACCGTAATTATACACAAACCTTTTGATGGTTTACACCGACACAAATGTTGGTGCGTTAACAAAAATTTACACGGACACAAAGTGTTGGTGCATTAATAAAAATTAGTTTTACACCAACACAAAATGTAGATGCAAACCTGCGGGATACAAAGTGGGATACAAAAATTGGGGTACAAATAGCTTAATCCCTCCCACTTTGATCAAGTGGAAGAAAGACCAACAGTAAATTGATTTCTAACTACACACATATTTATTGTTTGGGCGATTCCAATAATAAAATTTTGTACTCGGTATATTTTTATGAAGTCATGTTTGGATTCGTCATTGTTGAATTACCTTTGAACAATTCCAGAAGAGACAGCCTCTAAATTCACAAGTTATTTTCATTAAGAAAAAAAAATACTCCATACTAAATTATAATGATTCATTAAATTTATTTCAATTTAATTTGTTTAAATAATAATATAAATATTATAATTTTGCATATAATTTCAGTATAAAGTTAGAGATGTGTTAATATTCTCCAATACGAAAAGTTTGTTTGAGAATAACATTAAAAAATAGTGTTATTATTTTGAAAAGACTATCGTGCAACATTTAACGTTAGTGTTTTCGAAGTAATCTTCACTATTAAAATTTTATCTAAAACACTGAGACTAGTCTCTAACATTATTCCCAAAGAGGTCCGAAAATCACAAAATTGGTTATAATGATTAACGAAATTCATTTTAATTCAATTTATTTAAATAATGCCACCAAATTTTTATATTTAAAATAAATAAAGTACAACCATATTAGTTTAAATAAATATTATAAAATATGGATATATAAAATCTAAAATTTTAAAAGATAAATTCAATGGTTAAAATTTGATTAAACAAATAAAATTGTTAAGTTTTTTTTCTTTAGGGAGAGAAGAATATTACTCATACTAACAGATACTCCGTAATAAGGAGTGATTAAGGAAAATAAGTAATTGGTCGGCATTCCATTTACTGACCACATGCAAATTCTATTTTTATTGGCAGCTTTATTTAATTTATAAAAACCCTTTTCCGGTGGAACTATGTAGGATCATAGGGATACTCATCACTCTATTATCACTGAAGCTTTCCCCGGTTTCATCCACAATAAACGGCGCTTCATTGGTGGTGGTCAGTTCCTAGTGAATTTACATACGGAATTTGCATTGTTGTTTTTTTGTTGTTGTTTTTCGTGATTGAATGAATCTATGTTTTCATTTGAATTTAATTTCCGTTTTCCGCCCCGTCCTAGTGCTGCAACCTACTTTTTTTTTTTTTTTTTTTTACTGATTCACTGAAATCGAATTCCCGAGATAATTCAGTTTGGTGCTCAATTCGTCTCCCAAACTCCAAAAATTGATTTTGAGTTCTAGAAGATTAAATGTGTTAGTCTTCTATACATGTTAAGGAATTTTAAGTAATTTTCATTTTTTAAAACCTTTTGCTATTACTTTGAGCAAGTAGGCTACACAAAAAGTCATCCATTTTTACCTTTTCATTCCAACAGCTTCTTCTACGATGGGCTTGGGCCCTTTTTGGCACACAACATACAAACACTGGTTGTTAGACATTTATCTTAGCTATTTTGGTAGATGTTTCTGATGTCTTGATAAGAACAAAACTGCTTGGTGACAATTATTTTGGGTTTTTGAAGATTAAAAACCATATTAGAAAAGCTATCTATAAGCAGCTTGAGAAACAAGTTTCTGTAGTCCAAACAATTCCCAAGTTTTGTGTACTAGGCATGTCTCCTCCAACATAACTCAAATCATCATCCAAATTCATAAAGAAAGGATGGGTCCCATCCCCGATGGCCCTAGATCCAATTGGACGATCACTGAGAGGAGGTAAATTGGACTTTGATCGCAGATTGGTGGCAAAGAGTGGAGCCTGCACCTGGTACTTGCAGAGGTCCTATACTTAGCAAAGTTGCCTCCCAGCGTAGTTGCCAGGAATCAAATTCGAGTCTTACCTCCTTGGCACTCTTTGCCTTGCCAACTGCGCAACGCCCACTGGCTAAATCATCATCCAAATTCATATAAGAGGAGTGCACACTTTTTTTTAAGTCCTTTTACAATTTTTTGCCTCCATATAACTTCTAGTTTCTTCACATACTGATGGAGGACAATTTAAGCCTCACGCCTTTGCATTTTTAAACCATCCAACAATATGTCCCTTTGCACGACAAATACCTGCTTTAGTGATTTTGTTACAAAAAGGCAAATTGAATCATTTCTATTTGTTTTTAGTGAGCATACTTTCATCCCGGGTCTTTAGAATTTGGTGCTTCTGTTTCCAACTCGAGAGATTGTTCCATTCTTGAAGAAGTATATCATAACTATATACCTTAATATGAAACATGAAACCTCAAGAAAGTAGAGGAAACCGTAAAAAGAATGAAAAGGAGATGGATGATGAAGAAGTATATTTCCTTCATAACTCCATTCTTAAATAATTGTTCATTATGAATTTCTACACTCATTAAAAATGAATGAATGTGGACATACATTGTTTCCACCATCTCCGATGGAGCCAAAGATTCATTATTTTTTGGCTATGTGGTATGATGGAATAAAGCAAAATGGCTCTTTCAAAAGTGAAGTAGCAATTACTCAATGCAACTATCGACACTCATCATGGGTCATGAGGAAATAGCTGCTCTATGTTTTTAACATAGGGGTCAGGTTGCGTACACATTCAACCCCCTTACCCTGCAATGGGCGGGAGCCTTTGAGACACTGGGGTAATTTTGTTGTTGTTGTATAGGAAGTCATAATGGACAATCATTTAAGAACTGAGGGAGTACCTTGTAGTGGTGAGGGGTGACGACATTGCAGAGTCGAGAGATTTGAGGAGTCACGTATGGAATGGGGTCTGTTTATTAATGTAACACTACCTTTTATAAAGTTAAATAAAAGTTGTAAGTTTTCTTGAGGCATGCCTTTTAAACGCATCGCAGTATGCGATATTGTGCAAGTATGCCCAATGCGCAAGTATGCACACAACCCACATCAGGGATGTTGCTCGCATCAAGTAGCTTGATGCCCAACCTTTTTGTGTCTCGTGCCCAACCCTCAGAATGATTGTCATCATTGCTGTTTCATTATATACGAATGTGAAAATCCATTGCCAATGGGGCTAAATGTGTAGTCATTATTGATAATGTTTTAGCTTTCGGTAAATATTGGAGTAAATCAAAATGACACTTAATTTTCTTTGCTTCTTACTTTTTATGAATTTTTAGATGGGAAATACAACAGTGCATCAAGGATCTAATGAAAGCATTCTCTTTGTTTGTATAGGGGTTATTATACTCGGTTGTTGTTGATGATGAGTGAGGTTGTTTCTTCTCATGTGCATATGGGCCCATTTTTCTTTTGCCAATCATACCCCCCTTATAGGTAAGAGTGCACAGGTTCTATACAATGTAGCTTGCTTTCTTTCTGTTTCTTACTGAGTGAAGGCCTAATCATTTTGTCTGAACTTTGAGGGTGAGCTGCTCTGACTGATGGATGTACTGTGCATGAAGTTTTGAGCTTAAGGAACTGTGTTTTTATCTTCTGATTTGAAAACATACTGGAATTAGCAGTGGAATTAAGAACAATACTTACATAGATACAATTTGTTAATTAGTCACACATGCACTAGGGTGGTCTCAGGTAATAATTTTTTGTTTTAAAGTTCAGGTGGTAAAAGTCCTATCTTTAGTAATTTGACCAATTGTTTGGTCTCTGTTGAAGTTGGTATTCAATAGAATGTCATTTATTTCTGCTTTTTGTACTAAAATTATTACCTGTTAGCCATAATCTCGTGGAATTAAAAAATGGATTGTGTCACAATAGTTAACTGCCTTGGCATTGGGAAATGAACTGAAATCTGGCATTCATGGCGTGTGAAATGAATTGCAATATTTATTCTTTAGAATGCGCCGTAATCGATATGGATGGATATTTTATTATGTTCACAAGCTTACCTCTAAGTGAGTCTATCAAATGATTTCTTGCAACAGGTGCAAGCACTGAAGATATCTTCTTTATGATGTCTATGGTTTCTCAATCAACAGTTGTACTCCCTACGTCCCACAAAAAGCTTCACCCTTCCCACCTCCCAAAGAAAAATTCACACTATTTCTATTTTCTTTTAAAGACAGAAATGGGTGCCTCACAATCAGCCTCTCTCTAAATAAATTCTAACCATAAAATCTATACTTTTAAACACTTTTCTTAAACTACGTGAAAGTCAAACAAAGAAGTTTTTACAGGGCGGGGAGAGTATTAACCAAGAGTTACCAGCAAGGCTAGAGGTATCATCCAGCTGTTCTAATTGTAGGTTGTAGTACTCTAATTTGTTGCAGTACATTTTTGAGCTGGTATCATGAATCTCTTAGAAGATTATGTCGTGGTGTAGACTATTGTTTTTCCAGAACAAAAGCCTGTGAGCTTTGATGGAGCATGATCTACATATTGAGTACCCAGTTTCGTCAGGTGTCTTGAGGGGAATTAATTTTAATATCCTCTCCGGATCAGATGCTGTGAGTATATGATAACTTTCATGCTCTTATATAACTTATATAATTACACTGAAGTGCTAAAACCTGCTCCAAGATTGTTCTATATTGTCCCTTTGCATGTTTTTGTTCAACTTGTTTTGTTCACAATGTTGATCCTGGTGTTGAGCTACATGTTGCATGAACCATTAAATGTTTGTTCTTGAGTTATTTACAATCTTATTCATCTTTCATGAGTGTTTCGATACTTAAGCTCATGTCATGTTTTTAAAGATACACTGTACTTAATGCCACATGTTCCATATGAACTCCTCTTGCAAAAACTTTTAATCCATGAAGTGAGGTATTGTGTGGTAAGTTCAATGAAATTAATTTTTCATGATCAAGCAACTCTACATATTGAGTTGATTCCTCTTTTTCATGACAGAGCTAACCATGTAGAAGTTGATTATCATATCATTCGGGACACGTTTTATCCAAATAAATCAGCACAACATTTACCGAATTTAGTGATTAATTTGTGGATGTCTTCTATAATTTTTTAGGAAGGCCCTAAACATTCTAGTGTTGAAATATATTGTAAAGTATAATTTTGTTAAGTTCCTTTAGGACATGTTTTTCATTTCATCTTTCCCTATATTTCAAAATTGTATATTTTCCTCTTGTTTTTTCCCTGTGTAAACCAAGTTCCTCAAACCAAGAGATTGGTTTCCTGACAATGTAAATTAGCTTCTATATAAACGGTGAACCTAAGGATAATTCCTTATGTTTTTCCTGTCTAATTTTGAAAGTATCTTCAAGTGGTAGGATGTTATATCTGTAGTTTATTTCTCTTAAAGAATTTATTAATTCCATGCTACTTGTATAGGCCAAAATTTCAGCCAAGGTAATAGAACTAGTGCAGGAAGTGACAGATCCTGCATTAGGACTGCCAAATCCAGTTTCTGAGTGCCATACATGTGGGGCAAAGCACGTGAAAGCATGTGAAGGTGTGTAAAGAAATTTAGTATTGGCATATAAGCAGATGCAGCATGTATTTATTGTCATATCCATGATTTTTCTTTTGCAGGCCATTTTGGTTTGATAAACTTCCCTTACACAATTATTAATCCATACTTCATATCAGAAGCTGCACGAGTTCTCAATAAAATTTGCCCAGGATGTAAATCAGCTCGGTCTGATAAGGTCAAGGTCAGGTACTACACACTTTGTAATGAAACCTACAGCTGTGTTAGGTGACATTGCAGATAAGGTTGTGCCACTGTGGCTGATCATCTAATTTTAGTGCTCTAAAATTCTACTCTGATTTGTGTTGCAAAATTGACACCTTAGTTCACTTTGAAGAACCTAACAGAGTTATCTTTCTGTATGTTTTTTTTATAATTTTTTTTGCTGCGCTTCTGTCGAATTGTGGTCTTGGCTTTAGAGATGGTGGTGTGTATGATTATGTGACAAACATGGAAAATGAAACCAAAGAAATTACAGAAGCATTGTCACAAACCGAGAGTATCTTCTCTGTCACAAGATGTACCAGACTTGCTTCCAAGTCTCGGCAAAGGCAAAAAGCGTGCACACAGATTTTTTAATTGCTAACTTTTCAACCACAGGTGGCATAAATCAATAATATAATTTAACATAGTTGTTCTATATAAAGACACTTAACGTCCTGATGACCCCAAAAAATACTCCGTAGTTTGTAATAGTGTCACTCCTGATACGGATTTATCTAAGTACTCGCCACAAATCCTAGACAATCTCAACTTTATATTTAATCTTTATGTTTATGTAGCAAGGGGTAAGAAAAAAACTTATAGTGCCCGTTTCATTCTAGTGTCACTAAGACTTGGATAATATATTGGATAATACACATAAACTATTCCACAATGTCAATAACTTTATAGCCTGTTTGGGAACTTAAATTTGAATTTCAATGCCAAATTTGATCCAAATTACATGTTTAGGAATCCTTAAAAAGTTGGATTTGAGCCAAATTCCCCTAATTCCCAACAAAGCCCAATTACAAATCCATACCCTTGTGATTTGAAATCCAAGAGTTCAAATTTTAGATTGAAATCCAAGAATGCATATGAATTCCTAGTTTCCAATCACTACATTAATGAATTTCAAGCACTTGCGTCCGAAAAAGATTTTTGTGTTTCCTATCTATAGGGTCAAACTATATCTCTCTCCTTACATTTTTCATTGATCATTTGTGAAAACAACAATCATATATATAAGTTTTGCACCAATAGAAAAACAAACCCCGTAAAATCCCACAAAAATAGGGTCTATGGAGGGTGTGTACGTAGGCCTACCCTTAATCGGGAGTATAGAGGTTGTTTTCGAGAGGCCCCCGGCTCAAACTATTTGCACCAACATTGAAATAAAATGAATTGAACATAACATCAATCAAACATAGTAAAATGCAAGGTCGTGTTCTCTTTGGGACTGAGGGAGTAGTATGAAACAACACTATTTTTAGGCACTTGTCCCAGTCAAGGGTGCAAGATGTAAATCCATTAAAATGTTTCCACTTTTTTTTAATTGAGGGAAACAGTACCAAATATTTATTTTAAATAATGAAAACCTTTACTTTGTATCTATGGTTGCTTTTATTTATATATCTTTGTTTTTTCCCCTTCATTTTCTTTGTAAATCCATTAAAATGTTTCCACTTTTTTTTAATTGAGGGAAACAGTACCAAATATTTATTTTAAATAATGAAAACCTTTACTTTGTATCTATGGTTGCTTTTATTTATATATCTTTGTTTTTTCCCCTTCATTTTCTTTGTATGTGTGGGTGGCTTAGGGGTGGAGGGGCAATTGGTGTTAGTCAATACTTATGTCATTCAAATAATTTTTCATCACATATTGCTCTTGTGCTGATAGTCTATTGTGTTTCTGTTGTCAGATTGTTGGTTCCATATCAATGCATAGGCAGCATGCAAAGTGCAAGTATTGTGATGTAAGTTTGATAGGCTATTACTAAATTGTTTACCAATTACGTCATTGCTTCCAATTTTTTGCTCTCTCTAACACACAGGGAACTTCAAAAGATTATCCGCCAATGAGATTTATATTATGTTCCAACAACAAGTTCGTGAAACCCGCAATTATAGCCGAAGTGAATGAAAAGTTATGGAGGAAGTTTCCAAATATAAACTCAGGGGGAAGTTTGGCTTCTGATTATTGGGATGTAATTCCAAATGATGCAGGTCAGGATGAAAGTTCCCATCAATCGAAAAAAAAAGTTCTATCACATGGACAGGTAGCATTTCTTATCACTCATCACTTTCCTCCTTACTACCCACCTCTTTGATTCACAAGTCTTCTACTCAGTATCAAATTCTTCATATACTTTTTCTTTTTCAACACATTTAGAGGAGTAATGATTGAAGTTGTAGCCGCAGGAATTTTATGATTATGATTATGATATTGCTAAGTGCAACTCACTATGAAGCAGTGGAAATTTTTATATATCCTAAAAAATTTGCTTATAAGAATATATCGATTCTCTTATTCGGCTTCCAGGGATCTATTAAAAACCTCTACCTTTTTTAGGTAGGGGTAATGTCTGCATACACCCACCACCGCTCCCAGACCCCACTCGTCGGATTTTAGTGGGCTGGTTGTTGTTGTTGGTGGTGTTAATTTCTTATTTTGTTAGTTGGAATGTGCCATCTTTTTTATTCAACGATATTTAAATGCATTTCTTGTCCTTTTAAGGTCCTTTTTAAAGAAACAAAGTAAAGGATATGGAACTGAATAATCATCATGCTCTGACAATTCAATCTGCTTTAAGTATGTGGTTATAGTTGCATTTTCTTGCTCATTTATGGAGGGAATGAAGGGAATATAGACATAAAAGTTGATGGATGTGTGTGTTAAGCTGGTTGATGTGAATTTTTCTAGTGGCTTTACCTGCACTTTCTACCACAAAATAAGCAACATCTATTTTGTACATTCATGTGCTGCTGCCCATCTTTGTCTCTTTATAAGCTTTCCATTAAAATTTGTTGCACTGCAGATGATATTTGAGAATTTCTTTGCTCTACTTTTTCTATTTCTATCATGCATCTGAAAATTTATGTTGCTGTTATTTTCTCAGGTTTATAGTCTCCTGAAAGATGTTGATTCGCGACTTATTGAGGCATTTCTCAAAAGGAAGAATTTGATCTTCCTGAATTCTTTCCTTTTGACCCCTAACTGTCATCGTGTCACAGAATTGGGGCACCATATGCTATTCGTAAGTGAGACATGTCATTGTTCACACCATTAACTTAATTTCAACCTGAGGCAAATTACTTGCATATTTTTGCTGCACATTGTCCTTCACATGCTTCTTCTGCTTAATGTTTAGGACGAAAGTAATAGGCTTTACAGAAAGCTGATTGACTTTAGAGGGACTCCCAGTGACTTAAGCATGCACCTTATTGAACGCATCAAGCTTTCAAAGGTTAAAAAATGCAAGAATGACCCATTTGATATCTTAATTTTCTTTTTATAAATATAATTTTGAGGAAGTTTTTTTCTCAAACACACATGCATACCTAACTTTTGCAGCTGCGTGCTGAAAGACAAGCATTTATAGACCCCGAATTCAGTGCATCTGGCTTGAAGTTTTTGAAAGAACTTCTCATTGCCAAGAGAAGTAATCACGCCTTCCGCTTGGTGGTGGTCGGCGATCCCCAGTTAAAGCTATTTGAAGTTGGCATTCCAAGTCATGTTGCAGATAGCCTACGGATAGCTGAACATCTGAATTCATGGAATTCTGAAAAGTTAACTGAGCACTGTGATCTCATGATTCTTCAGAAGGGATGGGTTCTTGTTCGCAGAAATGATGACTTAGTTCGTATTAGCATGTGTGACAAATTGCAGAAAGGAGATGTCATATATAGACCTCTTGCTGATGGAGATGTTGTGTTAATAAATCGACCTCCTTCCATTCATCACCACTCTCTTATTGCCCTTTCTGTCAGAATTCTTCCTACAACTTCAGCTCTTTCTATAAACCCTCTTATATGTTCTCCTTTTCGTGGGGATTTCGATGGTGATTGCCTTCATGGTTATGTCCCCCAATCGATGGACTCGAGAGTGGAGCTCAGGGAGCTTGTTGCTCTAGACCAACAACTGATTGATGGACAGAGTGGGAAAAACCTGTTGGCACTAAGCCATGACAGCTTGACTGCAGCTCATTTGGTTCTGGAAGATGGGGTCATATTGAACAGGTGCCAGATTCAACAGCTTCAGATGTCTTGCCCTGGGCAGTTGCCAACACCAGCTATCTTTAAAGTGTTATCAAATGGGTCTTGTTATTGGACTGGAAAACAGTTACTCAGTCTGCTCTTGCCATCAGATTTTGATTACGTTTTCCCATCCAATAATAATGGTGCATGTATCAGGAAAGGAGAAATTCTATCTTGTAATGGATCTTCTTGGCTACGTGATACAGATGGAAATCTTATCCGTAGTTTTATCAAGCATTATGGAGATCAGGTTCTTCATTTCCTGTTTTCTGCGCAGGAAGTTTTAAGTGAGTGGTTGTCAATGAAGGGATTAAGTGTTTCTTTATATGATCTTTGTCTCTGCTCCGATCCATCCTCCCGAAAGAATATGGTCACCGAAATCTCATGTGGGTTGAAAGAGGCTGAAAGACTTTCACTTATAACAACACTCATGGTGGATAAAAATCAAGATTTCCTTGTCGGGATATCTGAAGAAAATAAACCTTCAATAGGTTTTAGCTTTGAGCGATTGTCTTTTGAGAAACAAAAGTCTGCAATGCTTAGTCAGTCTTATGTTTCTTCTTTTAAAAAGGTGTTTAGGGATATCCAAAGTTTACTTTATCAGTATGCTAACAACGACAACTCGTTTCTGGCTATGCTAAAGGCTGGGAGTAAGGGTAACGTTTTAAAATTGGTACAGCAGAGCATGTGTCTTGGTTTACAGCATTCTCTGGTTCCATTGTCCTTTAAAATACCCCATCAGCTTTCTTGTGCTGCATGGAATGATGAAAAGAACAATCCTCATTATCTTCCAGAATACCCTGGTACTTACATCCCTTCTGCTGTGGTGGAAAACTCTTTCCTCACAGGTTTAAACCCTCTGGAGTGCTATGTGCACTCGCTAACAACTAGGGAGACTTCTTTTAGTGGGCATGCAGATGTTTCTGGTACTCTTACTCGCAAACTCATGTTTTTCATGCGTGATCTTTGCATTGGATATGATGGAACTGTGAGAAATGTTTATGGAAACCAAGTTGTGCAGTTCTCTTACTATAGTAAGCAAAAATCAAATGCATTGGGCGGCCACCCTGTTGGTTCATTGGCTGCCAGTGCTATTTCTGAGGCTGCATACAGTGCTTTGGATCAACCCATCAGTGCGCTCGAGTCATCACCACTGCTGAACCTTAAGGTTCTCTCTCTCTCTCTCGCTATATATATATATATATATATATATATATATATATATATTCCTTTTAAGAAGGTCCTATAACCTGTACAAGATAGGATAATGCACACTTGTGCACATGTATATGTATTGTAATGTCTAAAGCAAACTGTTGCAGGTTTGAAACATCTGATCCCTTTTAATGTCTAAAGTGAATTATTTCCTGTCTAAAGCGAGTTGTTTCCTGATACCTTTTCTAGTTCATGGCTTTCAATACCCCTGTCTATTAGCATTTCTCTGACATCAAGAAATTTATGTTTTAATACTGATTGTTTTTATTTTGATGTTTTTTTCCTTTACTCAACAAAATTTTCAGGAAGTGCTGGAGTCAGGGGCAAGAAAAAGTAGTTGTGAGAAAACAGCATCAATGTACTTGTCAAAGATGCTTGGAAGGTGGGTTTATGGATTTGAATATGGAGCTCTAGAAGTGAAAAATCATTTGGAAAGACTTCTGTTTTCTGACCTTGTTTCTGAAGTAATGATATGGTAATTTTCTGCACATTCCATTTGTGGCTATTGTACCATTTCTGAAACATTTTATAATTTTGATTATTTTCTCTTCGTACTTATGCTTTCCATTATTAAAGCTTCTCCCGGGAGACATGCAGAGGTAGCCGCAGTAGTCCTTGGGTTTGCCATTTTCACATAATTAAGGTAACTACAATTTTGTACACACATGTGTACTTCTGGTGTGTGTTGATGAAGTTTCATTCTCTCCTTTTTCAGGAAATTGCAAAGAGGAGAAGACTGCACTTACAATCCATTTGTGATGCTCTGAACATGAGTTACACAGCCATCAAAGTAAAAGCAAAATCTGACCTTCCAAATCTGCAGATAACATGCATGTAAGACGTTATTTAAGTGGGTTAGGACTTAGTAGTTAGTAGTGTGTATTGCGTTGGGATGAGTTTTCTTAAAATGCAGTTACCTTAGCAATACAGGTGTACTTGAAATGTTTTTGAGGGGGCCAACCCATCTTTGTTGTTTTTAAATAGGGATTGTTTTGATGCTGACACGTCCAAGGAACACTCCAACTTATGCATTACAGCTGCGGTTGTTGGGATTTCTAAAGATCCATATCTGGGGCTGGACATCCTTCGTGATTTTGTGATACCATTCCTCCTCAGAACAGTAGTTAAAGGTTTCAGTTATTAAACTTGAGTCCTATGTTCTTCATTGCGCTTGAATGGTTTTCATTTTCTCTGTCTTCATGTTGAGAAATATTTGCACCCCAACCAACCCCACATTTTTTATGGGTAAGGTATAGGGGACACATTTAAAAGCAATACGTAGTTGGTAAGGTTCACTAATACGTGACAGTTAATTGGCACCATAAATTTCATACCACTGACTCCAAGAGTTGGGATTAAGGTGATTATGTGTTATGACTATTATGAATTGTGTTCACTCTTGTTGTAGTGTGTATTTCATGTTTGTTGGGAATTACACAGTAATACTCATGGAGTTAGGATTTGATATACAGGATTCTCTGTGTTCAAACGGGTGGATATCTTATGGCGGGAGGAGGCACCAATTTTATTGAAGTCGTCAAACAATAGAAGCCCTCCCGGAGAGCTTTATTTGAAAGTTTTCATGTCAGAGAACTGTGACAGGACTCAATTTTGGAGCATTCTTGTGGACAGCTGCCTTCAAATAATGAAAATGATTGACTGGGAACGTAGTCGTCCAGATGATATAGATGACATCTCTGTAGCCTATGGGATAGACGTTGCTTGGAAGTCCTTTTTAAGTGTGAGTTGTGGAACCATGTTTGGAATCTAATTCTTCCCCACTAGTATCCTTCTTTGTTCTTAGGTGCACAGAATGGTTGTGTGATGTAACCCAAACCGAGTTGTAATGAGTTTAGATTGTTCTTGTTGAACTATATATTTAATCTGATCTCACTAAGAGTCTACCACTAGGTTAGGTTTTAAAACTTTTGTCAACTCACCTGGAATTATTAATGTACATAATTTTGATGCACCTCCGATCCGCAGGGTCTAAGTTCTGCAATATCAGATACTGGCAAGATCATCCTACCGGAACACTTGGTTCTTACTACTGACTGTCTGTCATCCTCTGGTCAATTTCTTGCTTTGAGTTCAAATGGCCTGTCACGTCAAAGAAAAGAAAACGGTTTCTCTACGCCATTCACTCAAGCAATCTTTTCAGTAATGTCTTTAACACTCCCGCTAGTAATCTGTAATCTGTAAGTATTATATCAGTTGATCCATAATGTGTATTTTAACTGGATGCAGAACCCCGGAGAAAGTTTTCTTAAAGCAGCAAAGCTGGGATTGTCAGACGATCTTCGAGGGATTGCTGAAGCTTTGTGTTGGGGAAAAGTTCCCTCGGTTGGTACTGGTTTCCAGTTCGACGTTTTATACTCTGGGAAGGTATTTTCCAATTATGTATCACTCCTAAGAAGCATCTTATGTGAAAGGGTATAATATCTGTAATTACTTGTGAGACCTGATAAGAACCAGAAAATTACGATGCAAACAAAGATAAATTTCACTAGTTGGACCTCTTCGAGTGGGGCAAATCTCCGGTACAGATTTGTATTTAGGCAAGTCAAAATAATCTGACAACCTTAGAGATCCTAGACTACTAACATAAATACAAAGAACAGAAGCAGTTATGCCTCAGTTTTCCCTAAATAATAACTGACCCATTCACCCACTAACCCCACTTGGCTGTTTTCCCTTTAATTCCTCTGACCCGTATCAATGCATCCTCCCTGGAAAGGGACTTGTCCTCAAGTCGGCTACTAAACCACTGACCCGAAACCTCCCGATTAGTCTTCCTCGAACAGTTCAATGGTGAGGTGATGAAAAGGTGCTGAATTATGAGTCTCAGATGTCATTCCTTGCAGCTTATAATCTTGACCTTCTATAGTAAATTTCAGGAACATTTTACTCCAATTAGCCTGTACAGTATTCAGTGTAGCCAACCACTGTATACCAAGGATCACATCTCCCCCCCCCCCCAGTGAAAAGGATAGAAATCTTTAGTTATGTGGAGATAAGATATGTGTAGCAAAACATTCTTACAGATTCGGTTGCAATGGATGATGTCTCCATTGCAAATTCTCACCCCAAACACCCAAAGGGAGCAATTTCGTGGGTTAATAAGCTGACCTTAGGAACCAAGGATCAAAAATAAATTAATGGGTTGAGCCACAGTCGACTAGAACTGACACTTGCGACGGATTGATGTATCCATGGACAACCAAAGCTGAGTCATGTGGCATACCCATCATGGCGTGCAAGCTAATTTCATCTCTCTCTTCAGCTTCTTCTTCACTTGTCCTTGAATCTTTAGTATTCTGATCACCAGCCTCCAGCAATTGTAACGAGCTTGTTTTGCATTTATGCCCCGGATCATATTTCTCTTCAGATCGAAAACACTCTCCTTTAACGTACCTAGCTTGTTTCTGTCTCTGAAAGGGGGGGGGGTGTGTGGAGACTAGGGTTGTGTTTGTGGCTGTTCTGGCTGGTAAAGGGGCTGATTTTGTGGCAATTGTAGTCTGTGATTGCTTTTCCTTGAGGTTGTGAGTTGCCTTTGCCTCGAATTCTAATGCTAAACTCATGAGTCATAGCATTGCCAACGGTTCGAGGTTTGTGAATCCAGACATTTGCTTTCAACTCTTCTTTGAGACCATTCAAGAAAACTCCTAAAAGGCAATGATCTGGCCAATCTGAAACTCTTGAGGATCTTTTAGCAAATTCCTGCCTATACTCCTGATCCAAACCTGTTTGTAAGGTAAACAAATATGGAAGAAGTAAAAGCTACCAACTATCAAAAATGCCACAAATCAAATACCCTACTATACCAGTATACCCAATAATGCCTGAGGGCCCAAACCCTACTATACCTACCTCGTAGTCTTATATCTAGCTTGGCTCACTCACTGCCAGCCACTAGCCCCATGTAGGCTGCTTTTTTGGCTTTTATTTTTCCTTGGACTTCACCATTCTACAGTCAGTTCCCTCTATGGATGTATAAGTTACCCTGGTGACCCCTAATACCTTTCTACATCCTCCCCGATTCAGTTTGTTGTTCCTTAATTACTTATGATGATGTCAATATTTTTATAATATGAATATGCAGGGATTTGAGATTTCTGAGCCCACTGATGTCTATAAACTGCTGGGAAAGCATGCTGCATTCCAGAAGCAGAAAGTGGCAGTCAATCCTGAGCAAAACAATGAAGTTTTCAGCAAAACTCTTGCTCAACGCCTATGCAAATATGATGGTTTTTGTTCAGAGAGAGAGAACATTCTGTTACCAAAAGCAGTTTTAAGTTCCTTATCTGTGAATGACATCCAGAGGCTCTCAAGGGCATTGAAGAGTATCTTATACACGTAAGTGAACTTCTCACTGTTTAATCCCTTGTCATTTCCTTTATTTAGTTTAAATCTAATTTTCTTGCAAGTTTAATACATCGGTTCCTTGATTATAGGTATGATGTTAATGATCTTTTGAAAGAATCTGACAAGTCTGTTGTGATGAGGGCCTTGTATTTTCATCCTCGAAGGAATGAAAAGATTGGAACCGGGACCTATGAAGTCAAGGTATATGATTATAACAATATTGTTGTTTTACTAGAGTGGAAGACTGTCATTCTGTTTTGGTTGCAATATACTCGATACTTGATTGTGATACTGCTTGGAAATGAATAAGTTGCACACAACCATTTTAATCTATGATTAAGAAATTTTATTAGTCTTTCTTCTTCTCCCCTTTATATATTGCTTCTGCAGTTGTAATTATTTTTTCATTCTGATATAATCACAGGTTGGTCAGCACAAAGGGTACGAAAATTCACGCTGCTTCCTTTTAGTGCGCTCAGATGGAACAGTTGAAGACTTCTCTTATCACAAATGTGTTCATCATGCTCTTCAACAAATCGCTCCCAAACAGGCAAAAACTTACCACTCTCGATGGTTGAGTGGGGCCCGATGATGCTAAGGTGTGCCTTCTCATGAAGCCAGGCATAGCATCTCTTATTTACTTAATTTTAACATCCAACCAGCTTTGTAAGGGCAGTCCATGTGTAATGCCTTTTTATGTTGGTCCCACTAAAGCTTGTCTGCCCCCATCGAATGAAATTATTAACACGATGAGGCAGAAACGATTTAGTGGAAGTGACATAGAAAAGCTTTGGATAGCCCCAGCATCTGTTGCATCTTTATATTGTTAGATTGAGATGAACACCAAGGCTCCTACTAACCAGGCTAATGACTTTGAAGATATTGAGTTTTCTCACAAGCAAAACTCTTCCAAGCTCGTAATCATAAAGGGTTCAAATTGTGAAAGACTGAAAGATCTACTGAGGACTTGCAGTGAGATAAGCATCTTCAACATTCGTTGCTGTCAATCTGTCATCGTAGAGTTTGTTCTCTTCAATGTATTCTTATTACTTATTCTTATTGGAATCAGTTGAGATCAGACTATATCATATCAGAAACAGCTTTAAATATAACTACATTCAGATCAGATCAAGGCTTATTCCAATCCGATCAGAATCAATCAGATCAGGTGAAGAGAACAAGTTGTCCCCAAATTTTCAACTAGTTGGGGTTTGGTGGTATGTATTTCTAGTTTGAGACTGAAAACATATTTGGGTAGTTGTCAATATTTTTCTAGTGATGAAGCAAATGGAAAGGAACTCCATGTGTACCATCTTCTCAATATGTATGTTGAACAACCAGAGAGTTTATATTTGTTCTCCATTTTTCTTTCTTATTTATTAGAGTATTTCTACTTTGTTGCCATTACGGGCATCAAGTTTGACACCACCACTGTCTCAAAGAGATTGTGTTGTCATGTCTGTGAGACAATGGTCAACCTTGATGTCATTGATCATGTTCTTATTTTTACATGCACTCTATAATCCATGGAGATGCATGATGCATTTGCACTTGTTTTATAAGCTGTTTTTTGCTCGGTTGGTTTCATCACATTCTTTCTTCTCAAATCACTGATGAAACTAAGAACTTTTGTCAACTTTCTTGTGTTTATTTGAATAGAATTAGTTGTTCACCTTCACCAATATTGGTGGTCATTATCTGGTGTACACTGTGGTGTAACCTGTGATGTACAAAAAAATAATGAAAAATGCTAGGAGGTGTATCCCATTTGTCTCCCACCTCCTCCTTGTCCTCATAATTGGGCAAGAAAATCATAAATAAATAAATAAAAATTAATTAAAAATGAGTGGTGGAGAAGGGGGTGATGTACAAATGGGGTACACTTTTGGTGTACCCCTAGCATTGCTCAAAAATGATCCATGTACAATTTCACAGAACATACTTTGGGTCAAATCCTTCCTTTACCTAACTAATTGGGCTTACAATTACGACTTTGAATTTTTTATTGGCAAGGTTTTTGTCATGGTATTAAAGTTTTGTTGACTTAAAATTTAGGAGTTTGAATCTTATCAACATTTACATAGAAATTACTCCGTAATATTTTAAGTGCAAGATTCTAACAAATGATGGACTTCATTGCTTGAGATAGGGAACGAAATGATTTTAAACTTGAACTCGCCAAACACCCAGCTTGGTGGCTGGGTTGTGGCAATTTCGTGAATTTTGTACAGACCGGTTGGGAGTCTAGTCCCCGGTCTGAACCAATTTTAATAATGTGGCGTAATACATGTCTCATGGATACAGGAAAATTCAATGGATGCACTAACAACGTATAGTGATAGAGACATACATGTAATGAAACACATTAGGTCTAACAGTACGTTGTATATGCAAGCATGTGTTGTACGTGTTGACCTGTCTATTCACTTCTTCTAGTAGTTCCAAAAAAATTACTCCCTCCGTCCCCAATTTGATTACAAATTCCGGGTTGCGGAGTAAAATTTTTTACTTTTTGAAATCATTTTATTTACAAATTAGTATATTAATAAGATATAAAAATTACATATTAAAAAAACTATGTCAAAAGTTCTACAAAACAAGAGGAGACGCGAATATTTTATTTTATCAAATACTTAATGAAATCGTGTAAACAAACAAAAGTTATCGAGAGGAGAGGAAAAAAATTGTAATCTATTTAGGGACAGAGGGAGTATTCCTTAAGAAAAATCAAATAAGTACTCCTTTTGTCCAAATTATACACAGGGTTAAATTTATTTATTTTTAATCTATTTTTGTAACTCATTTAATAATATAATCTAGTCATGTCATTTCTTGTTTTGTTTTTAAATTTGTAAATTTTATTTTTTGATTTCACCTTAATTTTCATATAAATTAATTGAATATAATTTTAGTAAAACATTGTAAACTAAACAGACAATTTAAATTTAAACGAAGAGAGTAGTTTATACTATCTCTGTTTCAGTGTATTTGTCTAGTTTGATTTTTTTAGTTAAATTGGACAAATTTCAAACTCTAATTACTCTCAGTTTGTATTGTATATTAGTATCACAAAATATAATTTTAAAAGTTTTCAATATGATAAATCTAATAAAGTCATTTTTATGCTAAAATACATTATGTTATTTATTTAATTGATGCTCAAAGTTTGTTCAATTTGTCTCGGAAAAGTCAAATCGGATAAATACACAAGGACGGATAAAGTATTAATTTTCTCTCTTCACCATAGATCTCAAACAAATAATTTTATTTTCTTTAAACTGCGTGAAAATACATAGAAGAAGATGAATTAAGTAAATTCTCACGTGGGCTTTATGTTCACACTCATTTTATGGATCTTGATGTATGAAAACTGTAAAAATAATTGGACGTTTTGCAAAAAAAATGAAATTATCTGTGAGTCAATAAAAAATGTGAGAATGTACAAATTTCATGTATACACCTTAAGAGTCTCCTAAAGAAAACTTATATACTCTTTCCGTCCCAAATTTGATTGCAAATTTGGATTTACGATATATGTAAAACTCTGTATTTTTAAAAATTATTTTATTTACAAATTGTTATATAAAAAATAGTAAAAATTACATTTTAAAGAATTACGTAAGACCAAAAGTTCTACAAAAGAAGAGAAGGGACAGGGAGGGAGGAGGAAGTAATTAATATGGTGAAGTGTACGTAGATGGAGTAGGTATTATTAGGACATACAGAGCAAATGTGCTGCTGCTGATGATGATGATGATAACGATGGGGAGTGGAGTATGTATATACGAAAATTAATAAGACGGCATATGCGCATTTATGATGCATATGTAATCTGAGAATTAAGCTAGCAGAGCGTATGTGCATCAATCAATGTAAAGAAAGAAAGAAAGAAAGATTCCTTCCTGTTTGTTCCTGATATTTTTGTGTTTGTTTATTTTTATTGCATTGATGTTCGTTCATCCATCATTCTCCGACCCCTCCCTTGTAATTAATCTGATCTCATTATATATACATATATAATCCATCACTCACTCTGAATTATAATTCATTCCCATTTTTCAGGGCCGCCGCGATTCAATTAATTAATGTAGCCCCAGCTAGCTAATAATTAAGCTCTCTATATATTCCATCCATCCATATTCATTTCGAATGATTGAATATATGAATGAATGCTTTGCTTTGCTTTGCTTGCTTGTTGACCGACATCATACCCATTAGCCTACTATCGATCTATGTGAATAATAATTATTTGGATGAATCCCTGGCTGGCTGCGTCTACGTACATATCTGATTCAGCTCTCAACTTTTTGCATGCATTTCCCTTATTTGGCTTGCTTACACTAAATGCATTGGCCTAATCAATCAATTAATTAAAGCTCTTTATTAATTTAAACTCCATCTCCACTTTGGAATTGAACCTAGCTCACTCATCGAGTTGTTCTTGTTGTTGTATACATGCAGCGCAGATAGAGCAGGAGGGGAGGTGATAATATATTATGGTTGCTTTTGGGAAGAAGTTGAAGGAGAGGCAAATTCGAGAATGGGAACGGTAATATTATATTATTTGCTGTTTATTTATTAATTAATAAGCTCATGAATATAATATAATTCTTCCTTTGTGTGATTTGAATTTTTGATACGCATTTAACAAACATCGATCTATCCTAGCTTTCCATCATTTCCAAACCTCAATTGTGTATGTCTGTCTGTATGCATATGTTGTAGGTACTACATCAATTACAAACTAATGAAGAGGAATGTTAAGAAGTATGCTAATCAAACTCATGAAATCGGACTTCTTGATCCCCGTCATGTCCTCAAGGATTTCTCTCGCGTCTTGGACAATCAGGTTTTCATACAACTAACTAACTAGTTTCATGTTTTTCCCTTCGCTCCCATTTGTGACGACGGACGGGTGAAAGAAAAGGTGTCCGGGAAATTCATCAATGAGAAGAAACATTCTTTCTTGCAAAATTTACCAGTTTGACTCTTGCCCCAACTTGTACAGATTGAAAAGACTGTTCTTTTCCTGCTGGAACAACAAGGCGAATTTGCAAAGAGGATTTCTCAACTCAATGAACAGCAAGATATTCTTCAAGAGCAGCCTGATATTTGTAGAATTCAAGAGCTTCGTGAGGCATATAAGGATGTTGGACGCGATCTTTTAAAGCTTCTCTTCTTTGTTGAAATAAATGCCATTGGGCTTCGGAAGATCCTTAAGAAAATCGACAAACGGTTCGGCTACAAATTTACTGACTACTATGTTAAAACTCGGGCCAATCATCCTTATTCTCAACTTCAGCAAGTTCTCAAGCATGTGGTAATTAAGCCTCTAACTCTTTTTTTCAAGTGAATATTAGCAAAAGCAAATACAGCCTATCGTAAAATACAGCAAAAAATTTTAAGACAAATCAATATTTAAGGATCTTATAAGATCGGCATTTTACAGTTGAATCCCAAGCCGTAATGCTTACTCCATTACCATCAATCTTACATGTATTTGTAGGGATTAGGAGCAGTTGTAGGAGCAATATCTCGTAATCTTGCAGAGCTTCAAGACCGGCAGGGAAGCTACTTGTCCATTTATGACCAGCCCGCTCTCCCCTTTCAGGTTTTATCTACTTTGGAAAAAAAATCAGCTCAGTTCAAGTACATTCATGTTTGTGTAATTATGTCTTTTCTTGCCGTGATTTTACCTTATATGTTTGTGTTTGTTATTCTCCACTATATGCAGGATTCTGTTGTTGACTCAATAAAAGCAGCTGCTGACAAATTAACTCATTCAACAACTTTTCTCAACTTCTTGGGACAACATGCACTTATAATGCAAGAATATATACCTATCCCAACTGATCAGGAACACGAAGACGACTGTGATCAGAAATATCATTTTATGTCCCTCCTTTTGAACCTGGGAAACACTTTCCTTTATATGGTGAATACATATATCATCGTTCCAACGGCAGATGACTACTCTATGAGCCTTGGTGCTGCTGCAACAGTTTGTGGTATTGTGATTGGAGCAATGGCCGTTGCGCAAGTTTTTTCATCTGTTTATTTCAGTGCTTGGTCTAACAAGTCTTACATGAAGCCTTTGATATTTAGCAGTATTGCTCTTTTCGTGGGAAATGTCATGTATGCATTAGCATATGACCTCAAGTCAATAACAATTCTTCTTATTGGTCGCTTATTTTGTGGGTACCTCACTCACTCCCTACCCTTTCTTGTGTTTGTTTAACTTTGTAACTCCATCATTCATGTAGTCCACATTTTTCGCCAAACACAAACTTATTTCGTTGCACTAGCTGAATTGGCTGATGATGGAAAAAATAGTGAAGAGATACTTTTGTTTTTTTTTGCTCAAATTGATATTTCTACCTTTTTAGTTGTTTTTTCTTTAACTCAACTAGACACTCGTTTTCAATTTATTTTTTGACTACTTGAGTTGCTAAGCACAATCAGCCACTTCAGCTATTTTAAGCCTTATTTACCAAACTGGCTCTAATTAATGTGTTTTCATTCAGTTTTCATCTCAAATTGCAGGTTGGGTTCTGCCAGAGCTGTGAACCGAAGATATATCAGTGATTGTGTGCCAATTAAGACCCGGATGAAAGCTTCGGCTGGTTTTGTGAGTGCTAGTGCTCTTGGAATGGCATGTGGTCCTGCACTTGCAGGGCTGCTCCAAACGAATTTCAAGATTTCCAAGCTAACATTCAACCAAAACACTTTACCTGGTTGGGTTATGGCTTTGGCATGGTTAATGTATCTGGTATGGTTATGGATCTCCTTCAAAGAACCTTCCCGCGAATCAAAAGAATCTAATTCTGGTAAGCCATGTCTTCAGTTCTCTAAAACTGTAGAATTATATTGCGACTTTGATGCCTGAGATTTGGGACTCTAGGGGATCATATTCATAGTGAACCTGAAAAGGGTACAACGCAACCACTGCTGTTAAAATCTGAGGAAGTGAAAGACGTTGAGGGTGATCAAGAATGTGATGGGAGTGAAGAGGGTGAAGAGTCTCACAAACCAGCCAACTCTATAGCATCAGCATACAGTTTGCTCACTCCTTCAGTGAAAGTAAGTTTTTTTTAACTGGTAGGATTCTAATCTTTCCGTAAGTGTTAAAATCGTCCCACATCGACCAAATATATATGCATGCGTGTTAGCAGAGATGTTTGTTGGCTGCAGGTTCAACTGTTGATATACTTCATGCTGAAATACGCTATGGAGATTTTACTTTCTGAATCGAGTGTTGTTACATCATACTACTTTCACTGGTCAACCAGCACCGTGGCTATTTTTCTTGCCTGCCTTGGCCTAACTGTTCTTCCAGTAAATATTGTTGTCGGTAGTTACATAAGCAACATGTCGGAAGACAGGTAAAAAATTTGTTCTGCAATTGAAGCTCTTCCAGTCACATAAGCGAAATAACGTTCATGTTCTTACCAATGTCACTCACTCACTATACAGGCAAATTTTGTTGGTTTCTGAGATTATGGTCTGCGTAGGAATTCTCTTTAGTTTCCAAGTAATAATCCCATATTCTGTGCCACAATATGTCATTTCGGGCCTCATCATGTTTGTATCTGCAGAGGTACTTGAAGGTAAAACCCATAACCTCCTCTCCTCTGCTTTATTAAGTAACACATCAAAGTATGCGACTCGGCTAATTTTATAAAGACATTATTTAGGTGTGAACTTGTCGCTCCTCTCTAGAGTGATGTCATCCCGGTTGTCGAGAGGAACCTTCAATGGGGGGCTGTTGTCAACAGAAGCAGGCACGATTGCTCGTGTTATAGCAGATGCAACAATAACCCTTGCAGGGTATTTGGGGGAGGGCAGGCTCTTAAATGCCACTCTTTTCCCTTCTCTTCTTATTTGCATTGCGTCCATTATCGCAACCTGCCTTACCTACAATTCATTGTATTGATTTTTTGCATTTTTCACAGTAATTTCATCTCAATTCCATTCTTTTTGTTTGTCATTTTTTTGTTGTTCATCTGTAGATTTAACATTTTATGTTTATGAATTCAATATTTTCACTTCAAAGAGCATTCATAAAGTCACTAAGGGGCTGTTTGTTTCAGCCTCTTAATGGTTCAGATGTCTGAATGATTCAGCACTTAATGGTTCAGACTGTTTGTTTCAGCCTCTTAATGGTTCAGATGTCTGAATGGTTAAGAGATTTGCCTCTGAATGGTTAAGTATTATACAGAGTCTGAATGGTTAAGAGCTGTTATCTGATTTGATCAGACATTTGCCTCTGAATAGTTAAGCAATATACTAGCTCTTAATGGTTCAGACCTCTTACTGGTTCAACACTTAATGATTCAGACCTCTTACTGGTTCAGCACTTACCCATTCAGAAGTTGCCAAACAGCCCCTAAGATTTATTGTTACACACTGAATGGATTAGAGACGGGCATTTTGATTCAGTTAGTAAGAACAAATAGGACCACTCTAAGTTATCCTGAGTCAAAGTTGAACCATATATAGCTAGAAAAAACAAAAAGTAAATTGCATATATAATATGGCTTCATTTTTTTTTAAATAGGGCGAAGTCATGCAAATCGTCTCCAAACTATCGCATTAGCAGTGAGGATATAAATTCATACTCCTACAAAACGGCATATCTACAAGGCTTCAAGTATATGTTAAATTTGCAAATGGCTTCAAGTATACTCAATCAATAATGTTTGCTTCAGCCTCTTGGGTTTATGCTCCAGAGTCATCTTCTTATCTCCTGCTTCGAGTTTCCTCTTTAGTTCACTTAAATCTTCATCGCTCACCATGCCATTTAACTTTTTATTCAACTCATAAGCCTCACCCACTCTCTGGAGGCAGTCTTTGCTAGCTGATTCATGTGAAACAACTGGCACCAAGAAGAGCATGAAGAAAAAAGCATGATTAAGGGCAAACACGTGTTCATACATGATGAGAGGCAACTGAGTAGTATGCCGAAACTGGAGAGAGAGAGAGAGAGAAATGACAATATATATGACCAACCTGGCTTTGGATAATCTATTCCAATAACACATTTAGCTTTTTGCTGTACAGATAAAGGAGCAGTCCATGGCTCATAAATATACTCCTTCGGCATGTCTGTCATTCAACGGGAAATATTCATTTTATGGAGGTGAAATGAGTCAGCCTATTGGCTCTTGTGTTTGTGAGGCATCCCTTCTGTTAAAAAGAAATGACAACTAACCCTTGTGACATAGGATGCTGTACCTCTTAATACGGGGAGAAAATGCTTTATATACTCCCCATTAGGATCATACTTCTTCCCAAATGAAATAGGAGAATAAATGTGGTGGTACTGAGAGCAAAATAAAGGAGTTATAATTTTGAAACCAAAAAAGAAAAAAAACAATTCGTTACATGTAACAAATATAAATGGTATGACAGATACAATGGTATGACGATTAAACAAAGAAGCAAAGAATAGAACCTTGTAGAAAAATGAAGAGCAAGAGAGCCACAACCAGTTCCCATTGTTGATTGCCCAATCAGAGTCAATTAGTAGTCTCTGGAAAACATCGCGTCCTTTCTCCCAATGGACGAACTATATATCGGTACATTAACATATGTGAAAAAAAGCAGAATTCTAAGCTCCTAAAGGAATACGGGATAAACATATACCAGATCTCCGCGAGTCAGAAAGCATGCAACAGAATGCCTTGCCAGATGGTGCATCCAACCCCACTTCCTTAGCTGTGGTAATAAATAATGTTCCAAACACTTAGAATTATAAGGAGTTGAGTATAGAATAGAAACTTCTGGCTTGTACATACATATAATCCACAAAGATATATGACCTGGACCATTATGGCATCAATCCAAGGAAATCCTGTTTTAGCAACTCTCCAAGCAGCTAGCAATTCATCATTGTCCTTCCAAGGTATCTATTAGAAAGGCAAACAACATCATAGGTGAACACTCAAAAGTTTAGCTCTAGCGTTTGATTGGTTCAAAAGAGGATAGGTAGGAGAAAAGAAATGGGGAGGAAGATTGAAGAGTTAAAAAATAATGTATGATGGGAAAATATGTGGGGAGTCTAGCTGTCTAGAATTGTAGGCCAATGTCTCCCGTGAGTCCATGAAAACTAGATGGGATAAAAATGTGATCTTATGATTACTTAACTTGATTCATGGAATTCTTGAGCATTCATATAACTTATTTGGATAAGAAGGATTATTAGAAACAAATCTGGTTAATCACTCTCATAAATGTTGTTGGAACATAAAAAGAATCATAATGGCCCATGCAATGGACAGATCTCGTTTTAAAAATTACCTGTTTGCATATTGTATTGCCCCTCATACGATCAAAACTAGGAGTTCCAAAAGCAGCTGTGTAGAAGAAATCCCTCCAAAACAACTGCCCATGTTAAAACTTCAAGACACTGTCTGCCTAGGGTTGCAAGTACTATGACGACTTATAAGCAGAAGAGCAACCAAAACTGACCTGTCCGAGGAGAGATACCGGTGGAGATGTATGCCTTTTATTAACAGATCGTAGAACTTCCTGAATCTGTTGGTAGAAATATCTAGAAGAGAGACAACCAAACTTCCAAAAAACGATGAAATAGTAATGGATTAGAAATTAGAATGCTCTAGCTAGGAATGTACAGAGTATATTAATGTTTTGAATATCTTACAATGACTCACTTTTAGATATGGTGATAAGACAGTTGTGGCAGGCCTTAAAAAGGCAGCTGGATTGCCCTTGGGCTTCTCAAAACCTGCTACCCATTCCTGCAAAAACAAAAGAAAAAATCCACAATCATGTACAACTACGTAAAGCATGTAGAAACCTCATCATAAAGATATTGATCATATAGCTTTTATGAACTTAAAACTATGTTTGGTTCAAAGAATTTAAAAGGGAAAAGAAAAGAAAATGAGATGAAAAATAATTTTTCTTATTTGGTTAGAGAGGAAAAGAAAAACAAAGTGAAAGAAAAAAAAGAGAGAAAGCAAAAGGTATTAAAAGAGGGAGGGAGGGGGGGAAGGGATTCCTCTCATTTTGGTGAGGAAAATGAGACAAAACTATTTTCTTTTATTTTCCTTCCAGATTCCTTGAACCAAACATAGTGTAAATTGCATGGTAGAATTTTACCATAACAAAAAAGGAACAAAACCATGATGGAATCCCAAGTCAGATTTGTCTGTTCGTTGCAAATAAATTAGTGGTACAGTGTAGGTACTAAGATGTATCATGTATGCAGAGGATATCTTAGCAATTGGATCACAAATGCTCTAAAACTACATATTAAACACTTCAAAGACCAACAAAAAAACAGTTTGGTTATTGGGAAAAAGGGCATCCTAATGCAAGATGGTAGTGTGTATCACATTGAAAGACCACAAGTTAATCGAACATTAAACTCATGGCATACCGTATCTGCAATTGACTCTCTCAACCTCCTCAATGCTTCTAATTCACCGCCTCTAAAAGGCGTCCTCTCATCCTTCACCACCATACGCTCTGGTCAGTGATGCATTCAAATACACACACTGCCAAAAAAGAACCTCAGAAGAAACAAGAAATACCTCGCTGGTATCAATATAGCCAAGCTCTTCTAGAGATGGGACAGTTGAGACTTCAAGACTCCCCAAGTTCCCAATCGGAGGAAGCGAAGACACAGACAATGTTGGCAAAGGAGTTGAATCCCAAGATGGTGTCCCGGCCAGTTTAAGAAACGTTTGGTAAGTCAGAGGCGGCCTCCCTCCATTCTACCAAAAAAACATTTCCATTGGCATGAATTAAGAATCAGCTTAAAAAGTAAAGTACTAATCCAAATGTCAGCCATTCAGCTTCTAAACCCTTAGTTAATTAGTACCTTCTTTATAATGTCTGCAGGGTTAAAGAGTGTATGACTCACAGGAGTGAAAACCTCTATCCCAGCTGTAGATGCATAGTTCTTCACTCAAAAAAATGAAGACGAAAAAAAAACTCTATAATGAATCATACCAAGATACAGATAAATGATCACTCATAATGTAAAATCTAGTACCTTTACTTTAGCATCTAACCCCTGGTAATAAGGGTCTGTGTCATACTCAAAGCATAGCTTGGTTATGCTCCACTGCGAGTAAGCAGAATGAAAAATTAATGCAAAAATAGTGTTTTTTCTAGAAATTAGGGAGAAAAAGAGAGAGTAAATATAGGATTAAACGGGGAAGTTTCCAAAATTAATCTGCAACATTCAAACAAAAATTATCCAAAACATGCTAAATAAAAATATTAGGTTTGTTACCAAAAAAAAAAGAGGCCTTATTTACCTCCCTGAGACAACGAATGAGGACTTGGCTGGGGTCTCCCCGGAGTATTAATAGGCGCGAGCCGAGGTTCCTGAGGCTGGAGTCGAGATCGGCGAGGCTCTCCAGCAAGAAACGGATACGGTTCAATCCGGCCAGAGAGGAACCGGGCGAGAAAGCGGACGGGTCTGGCTCCATGTAATGGGGGTCAATCACAAAGACCGGGAAGCAATTGCTCGCGCCTCGAGCTGCGTGGCGGAGGGCCGGGTTGTCGTGGATGCGCAGGCCCTTCCGGAACCACAACAAGGAGGAGCACGACACTGAATCCATGGTGGCCGGACGGCGGCTTGAGTGAACGGTTTGGTATCAATGTGTTGGTTGAAGGGCGGCGCATTGGACGTCTGCGTAGTTCAGTTGTCCTTCCTCCGGTCCGGTCTAACGGTTAGTTGGGTCTCAGTACGATAGGCTAAACAGAGTCCACGTCCTTCATATATTTAACTTTCACTTTGATTACGGTGATTAGTATTTTGAAATATTTGCACTAAATAACACTAAACTTAAGTCATTTCCCTAAATAGCACTTAAACTGTTTTATTCTCTAAATAGCACTTATAATGTCCATAATGTCCAGTGATGGCGAAATTTTGCTTGAATAATGACTAAATGTGCTACATTGGAAAAAAAACATATGTAGTGCTATTTAGGGAAAGTCATTATGTTTTAGTGATATTTAGGTAAATTCCTCTAGTATTTTATTAGTCTTAATGTTTTGAAATTGCCCCTAGGAATAATATTTAGTGTTAGTATTTTCAGAATCAATATGTAATGTTAAAATTTTATATAAAATATTAATGTTAACTTTTAACGTTATTTCCAAATAGGTGCACATTCTACAAGTTCTACTAGATCGGTAATGAGAGAACAACATTTTCAATTAGTGTTAGTGTTTAAAATAAAATTTGAATGATGTAGACTAATTATAAAAATGCTAAAGGCTATCATCGGATAGCATTTTCAAAACGCTAATATTAACCTCTAACATTGATACCAAACAAATGCAAAGTAATGTTAAAAATACACATTTTTAATTCTGTTTTTTTTCTTTTTAAACAATTGTTTGATGGAGCTTCAAAACAAGGAATTCAAAATTTTAGTGTGGCATTTTTATAAAGGAAAAGTAATTGCTCAATCAATGAACATGTAAATGTGAAAGAGTATGCCTTGAAAAAAGACTCAATCTCCATTACCATTTCATTAATTATCAAACCATTAATGATATAAATTAATTCTGAAAAAACTAACCCTAAAGAATTCTATCGAATAACTTTTTCAAAATGTTAACGCTAACTTTTAATGCTGATATCAAACATGCCCAAAGTAATATTAAAAATACACATTTTTAATTCACCTCTTTTTCTTTTTCAACCAGTGTGTGGTAGAGTATTTCATGGTGTAAAATCTAAGATACATTTTCTTGTGTAACTCTAGCATTTTTGTTATTGTTGTAATTGGAAATACAAATATTATTGGAAAAAAGTTAGTTATGGAAGTAAAACTATAATTTTATTTCTTAGAAAAATACGGAGTATGTATAAAATAAAAATATTATTAAAAAATTCAAAATTTTCAATATAAGAATATTTTCATAATTAAAAATATTAAATAAAGTAAATGCGGGAGGAGGGCAAAAGGTTAAATTTTCCTTTCATTTCTCCCGAACTCCATTGGTGGTGCGAATTTGTTTACACTCTCTTCTCATTCTCTACTCCCTTCTCAATTTTTATTTTCTAATCAAATACTCCGTAATAGAAATGAATCCATTTTCTTCCGGTTTATATTATATATATACACGAGAAAAATGATATGAAGATTAACTTTTAAAAAGAATTCAATATTTTATTATGCCAATTTTATAAAGAAACAGTAATTGCACAATCAAGGAAAAAACTCAATCTCCACCATTATCATCATTTCATTAACTATCAAAGCATTTAAAACCAAATTACAATGCGTATACTATCCACATAAAACAAAAAAAAAGTATGGAGCAGAAAGAAACAGATCACAACAATACAACCGCAATCGTGTCTTGCAATGCTTTAATTTAATTTGATAGTAGTGTAATAAACACAGATCTGATCCAGCGGCGGCCGGCGATCCGGCCAAATTCAGTTGCGGCGACGTCCGGCGACGTCAAAAGCCTTCCGAGACGCGATGGCCGAGTGGTACATCACGTCATGGAACGTCGACGTTTCTACGGTCATTTTCCGCAGCTCTTTTGCCTTCTCTTCCGTGAAACACCCGGGTCGGAACCTGTGCCCGCCCACCCTATCCTTCTCCGGCTGCGCCGGAACCCTCCTCGTCTCCGGCCGCCCGTTCGAACATTGTTGGATGTAGTCTGGATCCGAAGCCCACCCGAAAAGGGGGGTCCACCAACTGGGGCTGTGGGCGGCAAGTTTCTGATGGTTCGGATTGGATTTGGTCCGATCGTGCGAAGCCGATGCGGCAAGGATGGTTGGAGTGGCACTGAAACACTGAAACGAAGTTGCCATAATAGCAATCGGTGATAGAAATCAAGAGAGAGACGGGGAATTGAAGAAGAAGAAAATGGTGGGGGCAGAGCAAAGGATAGAATAAGAAGTCCGGCGAAATGGATAAGGTTCTAACGTGGCAGATTACATGTCCTGCAAAATGGATAAGACACTTTTTTTCTACTCCGTATTTATTTTCTATTTGAGGATATAAGTGATTCATTTTCTGTATATTTTTAATAAAATTCACAAAAATCCTTTACTATTATATTTTGGTGTTTCTACTTGGCATTCGTTTGACATGTCAGCGCCACGCAATAATTGAGAATAACCAGATTTTCTTTCATGAGAATCGGATTGACCACATGAGAATCGAATTTTCTTCAATTCTTTTTCTGACACAAGTCTTTTTTGCGATACTATTCCTTCAATTTTTTTCCTTCAATCGGATTGTTTTTCACTTTTCTCCCATGAGAATCCGATACTATTATCACCAAATTTCTTTTCATGAAATCATATTTAGACATCCGATACTAACATGTCAGCGCCACCAAATTTCAATTCTTTTCTCCGATATTATTTGACTGTGTGAGAATCGGATATCCTTGCATGAGAATCGCCAGATTTCATTCAAAAAAGAAAGATGGGAATTCTTGGATGATATCATTAAAATCGCGTGAGACCGCTGATCACTGGAGGGAGGATTGCTTAATCGCTACATGAAATCACCAAAATCGGCGTAAGAGTAGTGATTTCCTTAGATGAGAATAGCTTGATGAAATCAGGAGAAAGGCAATCACAACAAAAAATCTGCTGAAATCAGTCTCAATAAATTACCAGGCGGTCTCATCAAATTGGTAAGTTCAAGCCATTTGGTAAGTCAAAAGAGTATCGATTTGTTAAATTGTCGTGTCTTCCTAAAAAATTCTGAGTCAATTCATAAGAATATTTGATTTTCCATTGATGATTCTGATTTTGCTCCCAAATTGAGGAGACTTCTTAGTTGTGAAGAATAAGTGTTGGCTATCTATAAATCAAATTAGAATACATTCATTGCTATTATGTTCTCGATTCACAAATGCATTCGAAAGAAAACTACATATGAATAGTAATTTGTTTGCTTAATTGTCATGTCTTCCAAACCCATTCACTCTTTATCAAAGAATACTCTAACGAGTGAGTGTAGGAAGATTTGTATTCGTGTGATACGATTATATACGTTGTCTGTTTTCAATGATAACAAGGCCATAAATTCAATAGAGATGTTATTCATCGACGAACACGTAAGTATATATCATATGTTAAATATTTAAACAATTTTAGTCTCTGTTATAAGTTTTTATATATTTCAAGTTTCATTTCAATGAATGTTTCTCTCTATATATTGAACCAATGATTTGTGCCTTTATTGAACTAATATTTTGTATGTTTCAAATCTCAAAATACAGCTTTGTTGAACTAGTGAACAAAAGGTCTTATTCATGCAGGCTTATCAACATTACAAGTTTCGTATTCATAATGTTTCAAGTATAGGTTTCTATTTAATAAAAAGTTTCGAGTATATATTTCATATTTTAAAAGGTCGTATTCATTCCAAAAAAAGAAAGAAACTTGTAACATTGTAAGCCTCTGTTCCAGGTTTTTCTATATTTCAAGTTTCATTTAAACCAATGCTTTTGTCTATTTATTGAACCAATGTTCTGCGTGTGTTTGAGTAACCGATGTTTTGTATGTTTCAAGTCTCAAAATACAGCTTTTTTGAAGCAGTGAAAAAAATCAATACTCAATCCTTATTCTCAACATTACAAAAATTATATTCATAGTCTTTCAAGTATATATTTCTAATTAACAAAAAAATTCAAGCATATATATTCCATATTTAAAAAATTGTATATTCATTACAAAAATAAAAAAATAAATCCTGTAAAAAATGGCGATTGTAATATTAATAACCTGTAAATCTTCAAAAAAAGAAATTGTCAATTCAGAAAAAGGATGGAATAATTTATTTTTGATATTTTTTAATCATTTATTTGAAGTGATTACTAATGATTTTTTTTAATTATATAGGAGACTACAATCCACGCCACCCTTGAAGAAGTTTGGTAGGAACTTCTGAGAAAGTCATAAATGAAGGTTTAGAATATGTGGTTGCTTATTTTGGTGTAGGCAACAATAGTGAAAATTATCACACATCAAAGCATGAGTTTCATCTAAACTTCCAACCAAGGATAATTGTCACTCTGTGTAGTTGTGAGAAAATTCTACTATACGGAATTAAGTTAGTTGCTTTTCTTAATATATTTCAAGTTGATTCAAACTATCCATACTTGGTAAGATTTTTTGCTTTCCTGTTCTTGACCCAAATTGATTGGTCTACAATTATATTTTATTATTCTAAATTTTATTATGATAACTCAGACAATATGATTATGCTTTCTGCGGTTGGAAACAAAAAAGAAATAGTGAAAGAGTATAAGAGAACAAAAATAATTGTTATGACGCTGTAAGCAGAAGTGTATTATATTATTCGAGAGAGGAAATTGTAGGTGCTACGTCTAATTCCTCAAATTTGTGGTAGTATTGTAAAGTTTTTACGTTGACCATAAATATAAGACTGCATTATCTATGTCTTCTTGCGTAGATAGGGACCATAAAGTTTTTCCGATTGGATAATCAAAGTGAGAGATGGAAGCTAGGTCAGGTGATTGATGAAGTTATTGATGTTGAGATTCTGTCTGAACTCTTAATTCTTGATACAATTTCTCCTATAAAAAGTATAGTGGACTTTACTCATCTGAATATATTATAGAATATGAAAAATTATTTTTTTATGATAGAGCACTATTATCACTAACTCTCAAAATTAGGGGACTTCCAAATCTCCAATGGCGACTTTATTTCTTACATATTAAGTGTGGGGGGTTGGGGTTGCATTCGGCAATTGAGGCTTCATTCTATATTTTTGTGGCCTTGAGGGATCAATCTTAGATGCTTTAAGACCAAATTCAACGAGACAATAATATGATTCTGATTATAGTTGTGCTTAGGTTTATTTTTGTTATACAATTTCAAGTTTTGACTTCAGAAGTTTCACTAAGACAAAGTCTCCTAAAGCCAACAAGCATTGGTGAGTTCACTTTTTAGTAAATTTATCAAGGACATTAAACACATTTTAACATGATTGTTAGGTGAAAAGCCATTTTGAATAGCTACCAACACCACAAGTACAATAATTTCTTCTTGTCATCCTTATAGATGGGCTTGGTTACCATATGTCATTGGCAGAGCACTCTTATATCCTTAGTTATATATCGGCTCATGATTCTTTTATTTCTAATTATTTGTCGCAAGGCGTGTTTGGACCCATTTGAGGAGTATGTAGTACATTGTAGAGAGTTATGCACATTTAAATACTGACACAATTGTTAAGAAAGAAGCACTTATGAATTTCTTGTGTTAAAAAGAAAACTCACACTCAGACCAGCTAACATTTTGGTCTTTAGATTAGATATGTGGGAAACACGGGTATATGAATTTCATGGGATTTCTCATTGAAGACTAGTAATTTTATGATGGACCAACTACGTTAAAAGTTATTTCATGCAAGAGCTCAAATAGGAGAGAGCATGCCTTGACAACCAACAAGTATTTTTACTATTTAGTATTTACATACATCTTTAATCTTCTCACCCTTAGGCAGTTGGACTATTTAGTTGAGTCAAACATGTTAAGAGTTATGATCCTTAGATTTATGGATATTTTTTTTAAATATTTACTTTTACTATTAAGAATGACAATTCTAAGTTTATGAAAAATTTATCTTCTATTTCGATGTATTACACAATTACAATTCATATGAGTATTTATTATAAAAAAAGAATAATTTAATTTAAATAGAAAGTAAATACAGAATAATACCCGAGTATAAGAGAAAAGATGATCCTATATAAGACCATTGCAATGGCGGAGGCTGTTTCCTTGCGCCCAGCCTTGTAGCATAGCATAGTTGTATAATAATAAAATAATTTTACTTTTTCATTTTTACCCTCTGATCTACTAGTAGCATTATCAATCTTCTAGGGTTGGAGGCGTGCATTTAATCGGAAATCATCAATCCGATCGATTACCATACTAGGGTTTCCCACCATTGTTGATCGTCGCGCCAATTCTCCGTATCCATGTTCGATTTGTAGAAACATTTCTCCTTTCTCTTTGCGATTTTCGGATTTGTTGATAATAAAATAGCATTATAGAAGAACGAAGATCAAGATATAACGTCTGGATTCGGCATAGGTATTTGCATATTTTTGTTCTATGAAACTGGGATCTGACCATCTGGGACTTTGCTGAGTTGAATTCTAATTTGTGTTTTTTTGCAGGAGTTCCCTCTAGAAATCGTACTCTGTGTGTGCAATTACAAACAGTGCGTGATGGATAAAAAGGTTGCGGCGCCGCTTGTTTGCCACGGCCACTCCCGGCCTGTTGTTGATTTGTTTTATAGCCCCATTACTCCTGATGGATTTTTCCTCATCAGCGCCAGCAAAGGTAGTTCCTTGTATATATATATGTGTGTGTATATATAAACAATGTCTGTGTGTCCATATATGTTTGTGTATGTATCTATGCATGTATGCATATGTCCATACTCGATTGATGTTATTATCATAATGCACTCTTTTCAGAAATAGATACCCAAACTCATTAACTTATTTATTTGGTTTAGGCTTGTAATGTGCTATAGTACATGATATTTATGTTACCATGATATCAGTGCAATTGCAGTTTTGCTAAAAAACTTAGTAGTTGACTTGAAAAGAGCTTTTGAGCTGTGATAATATATTAGTGCAGCCAAGCTTTGAGGATAGCCTAACTTAGTTTTGGAATGACAGACATTTCTCAGTTCATTATATTAGTCAAATTTTACTATCATTTTGTAACCTTCAAATATTGAATTTATGTTTTAAGATTCGACCCCTATGTTGAGAAATGGGGAAACTGGAGATTGGATCGGAACCTTTCAAGGACACAAAGGTGCTGTATGGAGTTGCTGTCTTGACAAAAATGCTATCCGTGCAGCATCTGCATCTGCCGATTTTAGTGCGTAAGTGGTTACTGTTTGTTGTTGGAAATGATATGTGATGGGTGATAGAACTAAATTTGTTAACACCAGACTTAGAAAGGATTAATCAGGTTCTTAAAAATTTAGTCTTCCATATCTTTGCTTGAGTACTAAAACTGTTTTAACTAAAAAAAGTTGATGTCATATTCCTTTACAATTTGGGTTGGAATATCCTTTCCCATCAATGCATTTTATGTGGTTTTTTAAAAATATACTCCGTACTTTTTTGTTTGTGTTTCTTTTTGCAGAAAATTATGGGATGCATTAACTGGGGATGAATTACATTCATTTGATCATAAGCACATTGTTCGGGCATGTGCCTTTTCAGATGTATGTATTGTTTCTACCATCAACACTGAACTATGTATGTCTAGATATTAGTCTATTAGGCCTTAAATGATTGGTCTTATTTCCATTGCTCGCCCTCAGGAGATGACACCATACTTTGCTTAGTGTCCTTTCTGTTAGACATCTGCTTTTGAAGACCCATCATTTGAGATATTAAATTGTTACATTATCAACTAAATAAGGGTTGAGGGTAGTTCAACTGTAAAAAATTTTCAGTCCTTATTTGCAAGATGCTTATGTTGGGCAGTAGATACATCAATGCATCAAAGATCTAACAGAAATGGCCTCTCTATTTTCTAATGGTATGACTGCATTCATCTTGACCCCCCTAGACCCCAACAGCGCAGGGGTTATCTTGGATTTGTTGTTAGCATCGTGGGAGTATATATATGTAATCAATTTTTTCATTTGAGCACCTTGCCTACTTGTTTTCTACGAATTGAAGTTGGCCAATTTTTTTTTCAGGATACACATCATTTACTCACTGGGGGTTATGAAAAACTTCTTCGTATATTTGATCTGAACCGGCCAGATGCTCCTCCTAGAACAATTGATAGTTCTGGTACAGTTAGGACAGTTGCTTGGTTACACAGTGATCAAACAATCTTAAGTTCCTGCAGTGATACTGGTGGAGTTAGGTATGTTGTTAATTACTCCGCATAATATATTTTGCTGGCAGAGGTGTGTGAAATATGTCACCAAGAAGATTCCTATAAATTAAACTGTCTTTTATACTCTGTGTGCATGTGGGG